ATATCAAGGCCTAATAACCTCACCTCTAAGATATATCGTGATAATAACTATTTGGCGTGGCTCTAGAGCCTCATTTATGAGGTTGTTTTGGTGAGGCCGCGCGTGCGCGAGGTGGTGGTGTGCGCGAGGTGGTGGGGCACGGTACTTTGCAAATGGATATATCGCAACACTCAGTCTATTATCTTTGCGTCCGGTATTTCAAGCTGTTTGTTGTAACATCCCAATCGAGCAAAAAAATAAGAGTTTCGAGAGTCGATTAGAATCGTGGGGATAAAGTGTCTTCGCCATGTGCTGCAAGACCTTCGCTCTCTATTTGGTGCGTTCATCCTTTGTCTTGCCACTTAATGTGCATCACTGCGTAGCGAGACATCCTGTGTGCCGAGACAGATAAGGGGTGTTTTAACCTCTAGCAACTAGAACACCTATACGCACGATGAGTATTATTATATTCTAATAAAACAATCTACCATAGCTACTAATGCTAAATGCCTGTAGTCTACTCTTCCTAAAAATTACCTTCGCATCGTTGCCTCCGCACTTAATTTAAACAGCGCTCTCTTCTATAGCGTAACTAACTTCTCTCCCTATAGCACCAATGTTAAGCGTTTATCGCTCTAAAGTTCTATAGAATATTCTTATCCGAGACTCAGAACTATCCTCTAATACTAGAAAATTACTATTAGCCCTATGCGCGCTGTTGCGGGCAGATTCATACGCCTTTGAAAATGCATATATTGTCCCCAGGCTTTGTGTTGTTGCTGTGCCAACCAAGCCCCGGCTTTCTTCTTGAAGCCCAGACAAAGCGATCACCGACAGTGGTGCAGAGGCAACGGAACCGCTCCCAGCTTGTCCGTACCTCTTCCGCTTTCTCGTATTCAGGGCTACTGCCATTTTTGATCCTCTCATCCATCAAATCAATAAGTGATTGGGGCGCTCTTCCGTTCTCTGCGTCCAATTCCAATAACAGGGCTGCACAGTACTTCTTGTACCTTTCCCCAACCAAATCTTCGCACCCGGCAAATTTTGCGCCACTTTTCAGAGATTTCGAATGGGCCTCAATGGATGCAAGATTGAAAAGATCGTCGCAAACGCTTTTGATTGTGTCGATGATTGCCCCTGCAATTTGAAGCTCGGAAAGAGATTGGAACTTGTATTTGGGCTCGAATAGGCGCCCACAAGCGTTAAAATGCGAAACGTGTAGAAGGCTGACTGGCAGGCAGTCCATATCGTAACAGGGTGCCCAAGAAGGTACGTTACAATGGCACCCACCACCAATGGCTCGGGTATAGGACAAAAGCACTAGACCAGAAAACTCCTTTAGTGCCCAGACGGCGAAGTCCACAAACATTTTCTGATGGCAGTAACGCCGGTCGCTATTCACAGGAAAGCGAATACCACCTGCGAGACCGTACAGCGCATACAGTCGGTCGTTCGGTACTGTCATTTCGAACCACTCTGTTTCGCGAAAGAGTTCCAGAACGTAGCCAGGGTTTCCACGGTGTTGATTCTGGCGTACATTGCGCTGCAATCGAACGATAGCGTGTAAATTGATAATATTCCTCATGGGGAATAGGTCCTCGTCCTGATGCTTCACCATGTACGAACGCATTTTTATTAGCACTTTGACGAGATCAGTCATAGGAACCGAATTGTTTCCAGCTACCATTGTAACATGTTGTGCTAAAGCAACTTCCTGAACAACCCACAGGCGCGTGAACCACGGAGCCCAAAAGATTGGTGCGATTGAATCCAGAGTTGTTCGGCAATCCAGGCTCTGGCTTCGTGCGGCTTGCTCCAAGTATCGAATCGCGTTCTCTCGGCTTTCATCAGCCCCCAACCACACCACCGTTTGACGAGCCTTTGTTTAGATCTCTCCCATGTGTTGTAGTTGTTCGTTCTTCTCATCGTTGTCATCTTGATTGATACAAACGGCGTCTACCCAAAGCCGTCTTTCCTGGTCCGAAATGCGCCAGGTGTCGCAACGCAGAAAACAGATTTGAGGTAACACGGAGGGTATTCCCTGCACAGTACACTCTCCTAGGATTGTCGCTACTCCCCCAGCAATAGGAGAGTGCTTCGAAATCCCTTCGACCTGATAGCCGTACGGGTTCAAGAGTGCATTCGACGCGATCGGTTCCTGTAGAGGGACTGAGGATTAGAATTCGGATCTCGCCCTTCTCTAGCCGACGGTACTCGTAGGAAGGCATTGCGGAGTAAGAAAAATGGTCAAAATACGATATGAGAGGCTACGAATAGTTGGCTCGTCGTAAGAAGGGTGGCACGGTGAGGAGTCGAGTCGAAGCTGCGTGAGATGCACACTATCAGGCTGAGCTGTACATCCAGACTGCGGCCTGTGACGGTGCTATTCTTCAGCTCGGCTACAAGTTAAACGAACACGAATCAAAGGTAGGAGTGGCGCACATGCAGCTCGAACAATGATATGTTGGCGTGAAGTGTATCAGCCGCACCATGGCCTGATCTTCTGAAATACTCTGTAAGCTCGCGCCTCTACCATACCCTCCACTGTATATAGAATCGTTCTTACTGAGAGTATCTCGTCCGTCTCTATCTTATTGTACCTGAAATAGAGTCGACCTACCCCTTTATTTGCCCTGCGCATCCACGATGGTGAAGACAAACTCCTTATCACGCCTCTAATGCTTATAGTGCTTATTCAAGGAGTCATTCGCTGTATGACTGTATAATAGCTGTATCTCTAAGATATGCAAATCCTTTCCACCTTTGCACGTGCTTGTAACGACGAATACTTACTCCGTTTACCGAAGCCTAGACTTAGATTTTAGTATTCTATATTATGCTAGCTAGTCTCTGTCTCCTGCTATGCCCACTATGTAAGACCTCTCTACCCCATTCATTACACGCTACCTAACTTATAATATTCGCCTTGAACGAGCTAAGGCAATATCTAGCTACTGCTTAGTATATATATTAGTTGCGATATGCTTAAGAAGTACGAGGACGTAGTGGATTAGATAAATAATTCGTAGCAGGTCTGTGGAGCTGTAGAGCGGCGTAATAGCTTATCTCTATAGTATGTAAGCTTTCGCGTTAGCTATAGTTGTGCATTGCACTTTATCTTGAAGCTACACGATGGCTGTATCGGAAGCTGATTGCGCCGTCCAGCCACACAGCCACAGATCCAGTATCAGTAGCGATAAATTATAGATAAGCTGCTTTAAGCTAGGTATGCGGGTCCTCCATCTAGCACTTCTAGCAGGCGGACTTAGAATTAGCATAAAAGCATGACAACCTCCTAAGCTTAAGCTTAGTACTTAGAATATAATTATTATATAATAAGCTATAAGTTGATAAAATTTTAATAAGATGTATAAGCTTCTAACGTATCTACTACTTACTAAAGTAAGGTAGTTATGTGACGCTTATACTAAATTATCGTAATTTATAGTAAGCAGAACCTGTTTCTAAAAGATTTTAAGAGTAAATAGACTTATAGTATGAAGCTAGTATCAAGAGAATATACATTCTTCTAACCTGTTGTTAAGTTTATTATATTAGGGAGTGTCTATGGCGTCTCGTCACGCAGGGTGTCTCGCTACGCAGGGATAGACGTTAGATCCTATTGTTATCCCGTATTGTTAGTTTGACGATACATCATACACGAAGACACACATCATACAGGACAGTGCCCACGTTATCTGTAATAATCACCCCTTGAGCCTTTTCTTCACAACACTATTCGCATTATCTTGATCTAAAAGTCGATGTCACTACTTGGCAGGTAGCAAAACTTGGCTCAAAAGTTTTTAAAAGAAAGCAAAACCACAGCAGCGCTCTTTGAGACCAAAGTTACGTGAGATTGCTCCTTATTATTTCTGACGTACAGTAAGTACTTATATACCGAACAACAAAGTGAAAGGGAAAGAAGCGCTGCGCTACCATGACGGGGAGATGCAGAATCCCGATCTCCGACCTGACGGTATACTATTTTAGTATTAGCGCAAGATGGGGGATAAGCCTCACTATCAGGTCAGGGTCCAATCACCCCTGACCACATGCATGCCAATCGACATTCCTTATCGTCCACGCGCGCGTCGTCACATGTCGTTGCACCGCCGACCGCCATGAAACGCCTCTCCGACTGGCGGCCGCCCACTCTAAGCAAGTAATGCACGTAGATCTCTCGCCTTGCTAACACCCAGCACTGACCCCGTCCAGCTACTGCGTGACCTTTGTGCCCAGCGTGATGCCTAAATCCCGCGCCTTGACTGGCCCTACCTCTTAACCCTTTCATCTCTCTCTCTCCTCCTTTCCAACATAGCTAAACACCGGTTTGCCTTTTCGTCCCAACCCCCTCCTCCTCCTTCATATACATACAGTGGTCTTTCATTTCTACGGGCCCTCACAGTCTAGCCAGTCGGATCGCAAGAGACCTGTCCATCGGCTACTCCGTTGGATCCACACGACCGCATTCGACGCGTACTACTCCCGTCGCTACGCGCTATACCATATATCCTGCGTAGACTAAACGACCGACCTTCCGCATCGAGGCACAGTCGTTATTTGCCATTTATCGAATCAGCGTCTGTAACGTCAAGTCGTGCAGGCACAACGGCCTGTCGTGACGGGAGCCAAAAGCAAGAAAGCTTGTCGTAGCTTGGTTGTACACCCGGTAGCCTTAATCTCTGCCTTGGACTTTGAGGGCTATCCTTGCCAGTAGTAGAAGGTGCCCAATTCAACAAAGAGGGATAGAAGGAATACGTGAAAAGTGGGAATCATGATCGACACTTTGGTAGATGCAGCAAGGGACGCAGTACATAATGCGGCTGCGTCGTCTGCAAATCTGGCGGCAGAATCGCCAACCATGCCTTCGCTCAGAACTCTAGGCAAGCTCGCCGTAGGCGGCGCACAGATTATCCTCGGTGGAGGCCAGCGCGTCATGGGTGATTTCACCCAGGCGTGCCCCAATGCGCAGTTGAGCTGCCACAACACGACTGCCGTGGAGAATCTATGCTGTTTCAACGCGCCCGGCGGCCAGCTGCTCCAGACACAATTTTGGGATGCGTCACCTGCTACCGGACCAGATGATAGCTGGACGATTCACGGGCTATGGTGCGTTTTTCCCCATTTCCTCCCCCTCAATCCTACACATCCAAGTATACTAACGCAATATCCCAAGGCCCGATCGCTGCGACGGCAGCTACGACGCAAGCTGCGACTCGACGCGCTCCTACTCCAACATCAGCGCGATCCTCAACTCCTTCGGCGCCACGGACCTCCTCGCCTACATGTCCACGTACTGGAAAGACTACAAGGGCCAGGACGAATCCTTCTGGTACCACGAGTGGGCCAAGCACGGCACCTGCATCTCGACGCTCGAGCCCGAATGCTACACGGAGCACAAGCCCACCGAGGAAGTCGTCGACTTCTTCCAAAAAACCGTCGACCTGTTCAAATCCCTGCCCAGCTACGACTGGCTCAAGGACGCAGGCATCGTGCCCAGCACCAGCCAAACGTACACATTCGACGCCATCCAAAAGGCCATCCAGGCAAAGCGCCCAGACGTAGAGGTCACGCTGGGATGTCGCTCGGGCGCCCTAAACGAGATTTGGTACCACTTTGACGTGCGCGGCAGTGTGCAGACGGGCGAGTTTGTGCCGTCGAATCCAGATGGCACCAAATCTACCTGCCCCAAATCCGGTATTCGATACTTGCCTAAGCACGGGAGTGGCGCGCAGCCTTCTCCCCCTACCATCACGACGACGACAACGGTGGCTGGTGGGAATCCCGCACCGACGGCTGCACCAGGCACTCCGTTTAGCGGGCGCGGCCAGTTGAATGTGGTTGTTGATGGGGCGAACAACGGATGTATTATTAGCAAGGGCACTTGGTACACGACTGGTACTTGTGCGACCTTCTCGGCTACCAAAGTTGGCGAGAATGGCTTTACGCTGTCGAGCTCAAAGGGCAACTGCGGCATTGTTGGTGGTGCGCTGGCGTGCGGTAACAATGTTCGCACTGCGACGGGCTTCACCAATGCGGATGGCTTGCTGGCTGCGGGTGGCAATGCCAACTGGAGCGCCGACAAGGTTGCGCGTGGAAGCACGCAGCAAACGGTGTATGCGGGTGGAGATCACTCTGCTACATTTAGCATTTCCTGGCAATCGGTCTAGATGATTGCCTGGATTTCTCTTTTTTTTTTCTCTTCCTTTATCCTCTTGATAGAATCGCATAAGCGAGCACAATGCATAGGCACGTCTGAATGAATCACAACCAAACAAACTGATTGAGCAAATAATCTCTTCTTCATTTTTGTAATGACCGCTGGTTAAGCAGCAATCTGGTCAGTGGACCAGCCAGGCCACTTTTACGAAAAAGTACTGCTCTTGCCGCCCAAGAGGCCTTCTTTTTTTTTTACATTGCAATACTGGTATCTTTCCTCCATTTCCATCTCATGACATCATCAATCACAAATATCGTACGAGCTGTTGAACACTCCGGTCCGGATTCTTTTGTTGAAACACCGTTGCCCATACCCCAAAAAAAACGCCGTCTTACGCCCTATAATCCCATTTTATACCACTCTGCCTTTAGACGGGCAGAGGGAAGGTGACAGCCCAGGCGGCAATCTCCTTCTTAAGGTCGTTGATCTCCTGGACCTCGCCAGAAGCAACCTTGCTCTTGAAGTCCTTGAGCTTGTTGTTCTCCGTGGGGAGCTCACTTTGGATCTTCTTGCACAGCTTGATGCAAGTGTCAATGTAGTTGGCAATCTTCTTGAAGTCCTCCTCGCCGAGACCACGAGAAGTCATGGCAGGGGCTCCGATACGGATACCCATGGGGGTAAGAGCGGACTTGTCACCAGGAGTGGTGTTCTTGTTGCAAGCAATGTTTACTTGCTCGAGAACAGCCTCGACACGTGCACCGTCGAGAGAGAAGGGCTTCAGGTCAAGGAGAACCATGTGGTTGTCGGTGCCGTCAGTGACGAGCTTGTAGCCCATTGACTTGAAAGCAACTTCGAGCGCCTTGGCGTTCTTGATGACTTGCTGTTGGTATTGCTTGAAGTCATCTGATTGAGCCTGCTTGAGGGCAACAGCCAGCGCAGTGATGGTGTGGTTGTGGGGGCCACCCTGGTGACCAGGGAAGACGGAGAAGTTGATGGGTCCCTCAAGGTCGTAGAGGGTCTCTTTGCCGGTCTTGGGGTCGGTCTTGCGTACACCCTTGCGGAAGAAGATCATGGCACCACGGGGACCACGGAGAGACTTGTGGGTAGTGGTTGTGACAATGTCGCAGTACTCGAAAGGTGACTTGTTGACACCAGCAGCAATGAGACCAGAGATGTGAGCCATGTCCATGAGGAGGTAGCAACCGACCTTGTCAGCAATCTCACGCATGCGCTTGTAGTCAATCTCACGGCAGTAGGCAGAAGTACCGGCGACAAGAACCTTGGGGCGGTACATGAGGGCGTTTTGCTCGAGCTGGTCATAGTCGATGAGGCCGGTGTCGAGGTTGACGCGGTAGGGGAAGGTCTCAAAGTATGTGGAAACGGCTGAGATCCTACAAGTTGTTAGCTTTCATTCAATGCGTATGAACCTGGTTGTGAATACGCACTTCCTCTGGGGTGTTTGGTAGCCGTGGCTCAAATGTCCACCGTGGGGCAGGTCAAGACCCATGAGCCTGTCATGTGGCCTCATAATGGCCTGGTAAGCCTGCAGGTTTGCCGGGCTACCGCTCAAGCATTGAACGTTGACACCCCACTTCTCGGGGTCCAAGCGGAAGGTCTCAAGGGCACGCTTTTGGCAGAGTAGCTCGATCGAGTCGATGTGCTCATTACCGCCGTAGTAGCGGGCACCGGGGTAGCCCTCGGAGTATTTGTTGGACATGGGTGAGCCGAGCGCATCAAAGACGGCGCGGGAGGTAACGTTCTCCGAGGCGATCAGAAGAATGGATTCGCGTTGACGCTGGATTTCCTTCTCCTGTAATAATAGTTAGCAGACTGTTTGAAGGACGAATTACTGCTGGACTTGCCATGATCTGAGCGACCTCCTGGTCGGTGTCCACAAGGGACTTCTCCATGAGCTGTGGCGAGTTAGCATCGAGTACATTGTCTTTGAAGTGAGAGGCGACATACGTCCTGGTGGGACTTTGGAAGCGCGTAGTTAGACATGATGTGCGGTAGGATGTGAGAGAATGAAGGTGAGGGGTTGAAGAAAAGAGGAGAAAAAAAAAGATGAGTAGACGCAGCGCGAGATTTTAAGCTTTTCGACAGTCGGAGTACCTGTAGTTCCATTCATCTAACCCCCACCAAATTTTTGGACACCGATAGGATGCCCTAGTCTCATTTAGGAATAGCGCCAACATGCCAGCAATCGTGCAGCCGGTCGTCGGAGCGAATCGGACATACTTTGCGGCGAGAAAGGGTGAAAAAAAGTGTCATTAATTCTGCTCTGTCAATCGGAGATTGACTTGGTAATGAGAAATGTTCCGTTTTTGGGTCGTACAAGTCACACTGGGCAGGGTTCTGCAGCCCTGCCTTTTCCCCGCGTTTTGCCCCTCACACCATGCGAAAACATCCCGGATGCGCATCACAAAGGCAATTCTTATGTCGCAGTTGAATTGCCTCAACATAGAGTTTCAATCACCCGAGAGCTTATTGACAAAGGGTGTGCAGTCCTGTATTATTATCCCGTTACAGATATATCACCCATGATATGGCTCGAGTTTCTTGATTTGACATGTCAGATTCTCATTCTCTCATTTACTACATAGATACAATCCATCTCAGCGTCCATTTTGATTTCAATCATTCCCCCTATTCATTTAACATTTCTCGCCGAGCCTCAACTCGCCTTCATGGATCAAATCGATCTGATGCAAAAAAAAAAAAACACAAAAACCACTCCCTTCTCAACGCCGGGTATGCCACAAAAATCGTTCTACGCAGCGAACTGCTTTCGCGTCGCAAGGGAAAAAAAAAGGGTATGTAATAACTGAGCAGAAGAAGCAAAGGCCGAATCGAGCCGGCATCGAATTACATAATCGCACCAACAAAATGCTCGTCTTTCGGAAATTATGTTGCGAATACATTCGCAGTCGCATCAATGGCCTTAGTCATTGTCGGTGAGGCGGTCGAGGACAATGATGCTGAGGATCATGACAAGCAACCCAATGGTCACAATGATGAGCAGCACAAAGCCGAACCAACCAAGGACCATGGCAGATGTGCCGACACCAGACTTGACGCTACCGTTGCCGAGATCTTGCACGATTGTTGCAGCAGCGACCGAGGCGGTATGTTGCCATAAGACGGAGACGAGGACGAAGATGGACGAGATGAAGATGAGAGCGAGAGCGACCTGAGAGACGGGCCTGGAGGGGAAAGGCTTGACGTCGACGTCGGATCCAGTTCGCTCGTCTCTCTCCTCGTGCCATCCGGGGAAAGTGGCGAGGAGGATGAAGGTGAAGAAGGCGAGAATGATGGCGACGATGAGGAGGTAAGGGAAAACGACGGCATCTTTGAAGGTAGCGGCTACCCACACAAGGTTGAGGGGGTCCTGGTCGACAGACACGTTGTCGACAAGGGCAGTGGCGTTGTTGGAACAAATGAAACCACCGCCATCACGGTTGATGCAAATGCCAAAGTAGCCGACACGAACACCGAGCTGGGCGTTGCCGACAATGTTTGCAATGGCGGCTGTGACGCCAGGGTCGACCTGCTCGGGTGCGTAGGTGGGAGTGAATTGTTCGTACCACATGGAGATGAGGAAGATGCCGGGAATGAGGGGAGATGTGGATGAGCATCCTGCCAGTAGCAAAGCTGCGGATTGTTAGTTTTGGTCGCATGGAATGTTCCGGTCTCGACGTACAGAGCAATATTATCGCAATGGCGATGAGAATCATGAGAACATGGTGAAAGCCAAGAAACGGTATTAACCCTGATGTTTGTTAGTTTTGATCACCCCCCTTTTTTTTTCCAATTCTCTCTCTCTCTCGGTCGGAGGGGAACGTACGTTGCATGCTAACGGCGAACCGGAGGTTTGCCATTGTGAAGATGTGTGTTCTTCAATTGCCTCTAGTGGGCGTTGTGGTGGTAGTTGGTCTCCCTGCGCCCCCAGAGGGCCGGGTGATGCGAGCGGCGGGATGCACTCAGACAATTGCTGAAGAGTGTTGCGCTCTCATAAGCGGGTGGTCGAGTGCAAGCGGCGGTGGAGTTGTGTCAAGAGTATAAAAGTTATTAAATGGCGGTCGGCGGTACTCTTGGCTTAGCCCGTCTTGCAGCGCTGGTCTGGATATGCACTGTGACAAGAATGGTCAGATGTCTCCTGTGTAGAGAGAGAAAAAAGGTGTGTGTGAGTGAGTGTAGGAGGTGGGTAGCGTGGAGTGTGACTTCTCTGGATGACTGCAGTAAAAGGTAGTTTTGCTGCTGGGGAAATGGTGAGGTTGGGTGTGTGGCTGGGAGGTGGTTGGAGGCTGCATCAACACGGCGGAAACTGTAGCAACCACCTGGAACGCCAACGTCATGCCCCGGACCCGGCCCACAACCAATCATCCCGCGCGCTATCGTAGATGGGGAGACTGGTTTTCTGCATACGGGCCAGCCGCCGGCGTGTTCCTGCATTAGACCCTCGTGCTTCATGTCCATACCCAGCCTCTGCATTTCCCCCAGCGACGTGGCGGCTTGCGTACGGCATCCGCCTCGGCCCACCCAGCAAGCCAGCGACCGCTCTTTCGCAAGCCCGGCCCCACGAGTACAAACTCCCCTCAGGCGCGCCGCTGTATACAGAGTGCTGCGCGCGACGCGCTCCCCAACAGCGCATACCGCCATTGCTTGGAATCCGTTTGTTGAAGTCCGACCGCACGCCAGTGTGTGGCGCTATGCGATAACTAAGCGAGTGGTGGTGTACCTTGCTCTGTGCTTTTGCGCCCACCGCCTCATGTATTCCACACGTGGTGCCTTCATCCTAATGCTAACACAGTCCCCCAGACGCGTCCGGCTGCCGGCTGCCGGGGGGGCGTCAAGAGTGTGAGTGGTTACCCGGCGACCCTGCAGCGCCCATCTGATCTGGAATCGCTTTTCCCACATGGCAGATGCTGCAAACAAGTAAGCAAGCAAGCAAGCAAGCAAGCAATGGGTGCTGTTAGTTTAAAAATTGGCAGAGGCTTGACCGCGCACCTTGCACGCGGGAACGTGACGAGAGTGACGTCATCAGAGTATCCGACGCAGGGACCAGTAATCCTACACGCCGAAGCCTATCGTAACGCAATAGTAGTAGTCATCGCCATTTGTAGTATACTATGCTCGTATTACTTGCCAGGACATAGTCGGCTTCTATATACACAATACTCAAGCACGTCGACATATTACTTACAGCCCTGACATCTGAGCAGCTTACAGCCAACCCGTCCCCCATGTGCCCCCATAACTTGCTTTCACTTCTCGCCACCCGTCTTCACCCCCCCATCCCTGCTTCTCAGCCCGTCTTGCAATGTAACCCAAGCAGCTAAACACACTCTGTCAAGACACCATCTCGAATCTTGCTTCATATCGCCCCAAGTCACGAGCTGAAAATGACGTTGGCGACACATCGCTCCTGTAGCCACGCCGTCACCACCCAAGCACCTTCTCAGTGCATATCCAATCTTCTTGCTGTAGACTGTAGATGGCAACCACCAAACATGACGTAAATGATCAAGTAAAGAAGGTGTCCAAAATGCATATAAACACCCCTTTTGCTCCACTGTAAATCCTCCATCACAACTACATCTCCAAACAACCATCTTCACAACCCTATACACAACCCCAAACCCCACCAACCACCCAAATCCTCCACCATGACCGACGCATTCCGCAAAGACACCCACACCAAGCTTGGCGAGGCCATGGTACGTCTATCCCCCCCCTCCCTTGTCCCCTTAATCCCCCTTTCCTTACCCCCTTCCACCCAAAACCCCTCCCCAAACTAACCCCACATTACCAGCAACCCCAATCCACCAAATCCACCAGCACAAAGATCAAAGAGTCCCTCACGGGCACCGCCGACAAAGTGGCCCGCGAAGCCCAACCCGACTCGTCCAAGACGCACACGCAATCGACCATGGACAAGCTGGGCCGCTCCAAGGACAACAACGTGCACGGTTCCACGGGCGGCAGCATTGTGGATAAGACGAAGAGTGCGCTGGGATTGGGACATCACCATGGTACTACTACCTCTACTACTGGTACGCACAGCCATGGTGGGTTGTAAATTACCACAACCTACCCTATCCTACCCTACTGTAATGTGGATTGGGCCAAGTTGTTGTAGATGGAGGTGTTATTAGATACCTTTTACATGTTTCCCCTACTGGCGCTTTCACGGTTAATGTCTTAATGTCCTCATGAATACTATTCTTCTTCTTGGAGGAAAAAAAAAGAGATTATGGTTCGTTGGTGCATGGTGCCTATGTGAATGCAGATACTCCTGTAACAATGCAATCATGCTATGGTATGACTAGATGAAGTAAAGAGGGATGGGGGGGGTATTCAGTTGTGCAAAACAAAAAAGCAAAACAGACCAGTGGAGACGGACATTGCATCGCCCCTTGCAGAACTTACACTACATGGCAAATCGAAACATAGTGCCCACCATTCTCTAATTCTTATCGACCCCATCAGGTAGGCATGGCCATGATGGATCCCCATCCACCACCTGTCGGCCCCCCGCCTCCGCCTCTGCTAACACCTCCTCCACCTCCACCCCTGGGCCGACTACTGGCCCCTGCAGAAGCCCTACTGCTAGACCCCCTAGCCGCACGCTTCTTGACCCCGCCAAAGTTCTTGTTATTACCAAAGTTTCCCGATGTCCTCTTCTTGAATGTCCCCTTCTTCTTGTACCCCGATCTTGCCGCCGGTGCTTTGGCTGCAGCCTTGGATACGGGAGCTGCTCTCCCGCCCAGCTGCGTGTATCGGTTGTTGAATTCTGCAACCTCTGGGTTTGGAGCGTGGCTGAAGTGATGACTTGTGTGTACTTCGCCATCGTCGTCGTCGCCGTCATCGTCGTAATCGAGATCGCCGTAGGATGAGTCGTCGCCGAACTCTTCGGCGTTAGGGACATCTACTTCCTCTACATCATCATCGTCGTCGTCACCGCAAAGGTCTACAACAAGTCGGTGGTTCTGGTCATCCACTTCCTCGTCATCGTCGTTATCATCATTGTCATCATCGTCAATCTCATAGACGGTCCGAGAGCTTTGAGCTTGCTTGTTGCGAAGCTGGGGATTGCGAGGAACCGGTGTGTCGTCTCCGTAAAAGTTCCTCGTATTGTTGATCAACTTCAAGAATGACTTGCCGTAACGATCTACCATCTCGGGTCGGATGCCTGGTATCATCTTCATTTCGTCGAGATTTCGTGGCAGATCAAGACCCATTTCACGAAGCACCGTATCTGTGAAGATGGCCTCGCGGTGACCCTTTCTTTCTTGTATGCTTGTTCTCATCCTCTTAGCCCCGGTCATGAAATCTCTCAAGACATCGCTTTGCAGCTCAGTGAGCTCGGCAGTCCTCTGGTCTGTAGTGATGGGAGTTCCAAGTTTTTTCGCTTTCGTTGCTTTTAATGGCCTAGCCTCACGTACTGGTGCAAAGCCATCATTGTCGCCAACGAAACCGTCGGCTTGGAAACTACGATTGGCGGGTTTGCGAGTAGGATGACGTGGTGCATCAAAGACATCTTCATCATCGTCGTCGTCATCCTGGTTGTAAGCAAATGACCTTATCTTTTGCTTATTCCCATGCACAGGAGAATCGACATTGGTTGATGGGAACTGTGTTTGCTGTTTCTTCGCCTTCTTCGCAGCAGGCGCTTTTGAAGATGGCTTCGCAGATGCTTTGTGTGGTGAGGAGCGTACTTGCAACTTCAGCTGCTTCCGCTTAGTTTCGTAGTCGTTGCGTGTCGAAGCAGGCTAAGAACGTTAATAGTTGAAATATGCATCAAACATAGAATACATACGTGTAGGTAGCTGGTCGCAAAGCCAACCTTGTTCACCTTGCTCTTCTCTTTAAGATCACCAGCGTCTAGCAGTTGTTGAAAGATGCGCTCATTGTCACCCCTTTCTAGGTCCTTACCGTAGCCCCATCCATATTCTTCCAATCCAGCACTCTTGATCTTGGCACCGCCAGCACCACGGAAGGCATCTACGCATTGGTGCATTGTGACATTGTCCTCATGAACCTGGCTGACAAGCTTAATGGCCATGGCAGCGTATTCGGTAAGGTCCTTTGTAATGAACGTGGCATCCGACCGGCAGTTGTCACATGTCGAGTTGCACTTTGAGGGATCGAACGCTTCACTAAAGTATCCGAGCACTTGAGCGCGTCGACAGTCGGCTTTGTTCTCGCAGTATTGAATCACAGTTCGCAGCATGTCGCTTAGTCGTTGCTTCTGTTCTCTGCTGCCCTCGCCCTCATCAATCATCTTGCGCAAGATCCTCGAGTCTGCATACTGGTAGTACAGGTAGCACTCTGAGCGCTTACCATCACGACCAGCACGTCCAGTCTCTTGATAATAGCCTTCCAAACTCTTTGGTAGCGAGTGGTGAATGACATATCGTACATCGGCTTTGTCAATACCCATACCAAAGGCGATTGTGGCCACGATGACATGATACTCGTTCTTCTGCCATTTGCGTTGGACGTCAGACCGATCGGTCGAGTCCATTCCGGCATGGTAATGGTAGGCACGGATACCCATCTCAGATAGCTTTTGGGCTACTTGCTCGCAGCTCTTCCGTGAGAGGCAGTAGATAATACCAGACTTTCCGACATATCGCTCCTTGATCAAATCCGCGATATTGTTGATAATGCCTTTTGCTTTCGGTAACACTTCATAGGACAGATTGGGGCGATTGAAGCTTTGGGAGAATTCCTGGCAACCTTGGATACCAAGATTGGATACCACATCGGAACGGACAAGTTTGGTAGCAGTTGCAGTCAGCGCAAGCACCGGAACTCCGGGAAATTGTCGAACAACGTCTCCAAGTGCTTTGTAGTCTGGTCGGAAATCATGACCCCATTGGCTGACACAATGTGCCTCGTCGATGACAATCCTGGCAAGGTTGCCCCCAGAATGCAATTGCTGGAAAGCGTTGATCATCCTCTGGTTTTTGCTAAGCATCTCGGGTGTCACGTAGAGTATCTGGACGAACTGCTGAGGATTCCTTTCGCGTAAGCCGTCCATGATCATTTTCTTCTGAGCTGCGGTTGATTCTCCATTAATGAGGAATGCCTGCATGCCGAAACGCTGTCTGCAAGCCTCGACTTGGTCTTCCATCAAACTCAATAGCGGAGAAACAACTAGGGTAACCCCATGTGTCTTGCCTGAAGCGATAACCGAGGGAAGCTGGTAGCAGAGCGACTTTCCTCCTCCGGTAGGCATCAGCACAAAGCAGTGTTTACCTGCTAGGGTGGTGTTAATAGTCTCCAATTGCCCAGGCCGGAAACCTCTCAAACCGAACCGACGAATGAGTGCCGCTCTCAGATCTTGGGACCAAGGAAAGTTCATTCCGGGGTGATTCTTGGCCGGCATGTTCAGTTGCGGCTTCTTCGGTGATGCTTGTTGATTCTGTTTTGGCGCGGCTTTGTTCGGGGAAGCCTCACGGAATACCTCGCGAGTGTTCGTTGACGGGAGGGCTCCTGTCCGTTCACCTTTCCAATTGAAGTTGCCTGGTACCTGATTCTCGATGTTGTTGATTTCGTGGAGGAATTCATCGTCGTCCGCGCCAAACTCGTCATCGTCACTTACCTCAATGGGTTGATGGAGCTCACCCATGTGATGAGTAAACAGGCTCTCGTCTTCCTCAAATTCCATGTCTTCGAAGTCATCAGGCATATCATGATGGGTTGCTGGCTTTGACTTTTTCGGAGAACGCCGGTGTTCTGGCGTCTCAGGTATGCGGTGAGATCGATCTTTTGGCACGTGGTTGTGCATTCCTGTCGCACCGTTTTCAGTGCGGGAACGAATACCAAGATCTAGAGGGGGTAGCGGAGAGGCAGCCACCTGTTCCTCAGCGAATCGTATGCGACGAGTCGGTGTAAACACTTCTTCAACAACAGTGTCGCCGTGCTTAGGGTACTGTGTTTGAGGGATCCGATTTGGCCCTGATTCCTTTGAATCATCAAATGATGGTCGCACTGGGCTTGTTTGAGTTGACTGGATAACCACGTTGCGGCTGCTCTTCGACTCTGCCTTTACGACAGACTTGGGTTGCTGCTTGATGGCCGCCAGATCCAGCAGGTAATACATTTGGATCTGGATGTCCTCGATCATCTTGAAGAGTCTGCTGAGAGTTTCACCGTCTGCTGCGTCAAACTGACCCATGTCCAAGTCGTCTTCAAGTTTTTGCTTCACCTTTTGCCGCTCGTTCACAAGGTCACTATGCTTGGTCTTCAAGACTATCAACTGCTCTACCGCATCCTTCCGTGAGCGAGCGCGTCCCATCCTTTCTTGTTCGCTAGGGTCAGGTATACCATGCTCGGAGATATGGGCAACAAAGGCAGCACGGGCATCTTCCCATGCCAAACTCGCCGTGTTGAGATGGCTTTGCAACCTTTGACCCTCTGTTTTCAAGAATGCATCGATAGTGCTTTTGATGGCATTCTTCTTTTCCTTTGACAATTCTGACGAGCTTGGGATAGGCTTGATGGGCGCGGATACTGGTAGAGGTGCAGATTTGGTATTTTTCTTAGGGGATTGCGACTTCGCTGGGGTAGGAATGGAGTCTTGCTCAGGTTGGTATGGACTAGGACTTCGCAAGGCCTTCACTGGAGAGCGTATGGGTAGCTGTGTCTGGCTCGCAGGCCCAGCTGGATTTGACACTGGCGTCTTTTCACGTAGCCTTTTTCTCGGAGGCGTGGGTGATTTTGTCCGAGCTTGAGTGTCAATGTCCATCTCATCTATCGCACCAAAGTCTTCGTCTTCAGAGTCCATCACCGCATGCTCAATTCTCTTAGTAGTAGGCGCGCGCATACGTTCCGATTTAGGTACCGCAACTTCGGCTGCGCAAGGCCTGGTCTTGCTAGGCGCAGGGCTACGAGTCTGCTTCCCCATTTTGCGGGCTGGAGCATTTTCTGAAGGCACACGGCTTAACGGTTTGCGTTTGCGCGGTTGTGTAGACGCCGCCTGCTCTGCCTCTGCTATCCGTCGCTCCTCCTCTTCTATTTGTAACATTGCCTCCATATCGTCGTCCTCAGCATCCGCAGCTTGCTCTGGTGAGGACTTTGCACCCCCTGCGACAATCGAATATGGTGGAGGCGGACTATCCGGGGCCATGACAATGTCCTCGATATCAGGAAACTCGTCATCGTCGTCGTCGGGCTCTGGGGCGAGCGTAGGGTCTGCTCGAATCGGCCTGGGAGACTTGGCGTGCCGGAGGTCTGCCTCGAACTCGTCGCTCTTCCGTTTTCGTCCTTTGGGGGTGCGCATTGGAACTGGCGAAGAGGGAATCGCATCATCTCCAGTAAGGTCAATGGAGTCAACATCAATAGGCTCCATGCGACTCATTCCAGCAGTGCCATATTGTGAAGCAGGTACTTCCATGTGTCCGCTGATCGTCCTCGAAGTTGTCGGTGGATCTCGAGTGCGTTCCGAATTGGCCCTTCCCGGCTCTGCTGTGGTGTTCTTCTCATTCCTTGCCCTGCTTGGGGACGCCGAGTATGATACATGATCTGGTAACCCCGCTACAATGAGTCTGGGTTTCCCGCTTGCCGGCGTAGCCCTCAGTCTTGCCATATCCGAGCTCGTACCCTCAGCCTCTGGAGGGTTGTGTATATCGATTGGCCTCGTTGGAGCGAGACTGCGGGGTAGGACGGGTCTAGCGGTTTGAGGTGCTGATGGGGGCGCTGGCACGGAGGCAGGTTGGGGTTCATTGTATGCCGTCTGCGTGTCTGAGTGCGAAGAATGTTGCAGTGAGATTGTCGCCGAACTCGTAGGCTCAGCGCCGGCTTCGTATGCCACGAGCGATGATGCGGGAGGAATAAATGGCTTCTCGTTAACCAACCACTGGAGGTGTTTACTAAGATTGTTCCGAGGCATGAGAGCGTCGCATCGTCGGTGTGGGAATCCGCATCGATGTTTTACACGTGCATCCACAGCAGCGTCACGTTTTAATGGGCGTGGTGTGGCGACATCACCATCCGCATCCTTGACCGTGTTGTGCTAAGTCCGCAACACGCGCCGCGCTACTAGCGCCAAATCACGTGCGGGCATCGCCTTAGATTAGGATCTAGCAGTCTCTATTACATATTATCATGGACAACAATGGCACCATCACGCCTTCGGTCTCGGCAACCTCTGACATTCAACCGCATCCTGAAAATTCCTGCATGTGTGTCGTTAGAGTGTCACCTGCAAAGCCATGGATTGCTTCCAGTAGGCTTGTAAGCTGGCCTTATTCGGAATTAGGCATCCTTCGGCCTCAGCGAACCGTCGTAGTAAGAGTCATGTGTTCTTGTACCACTCACGTCTTCACACCACGGTAGGCAGCAGAGTTCTTTTCTTAGGCACGTCGCAATCACACCGCCATCCCAGAGATTGTTTGCAAGCAACGCCAGTCCAAAGCCATGGAAGTCCAAAGCCAAGAAATATTCAACCAGCTCGCTGTGGAGATTGCAGAAATACACGTGCATCCACCACCTGAGAACGTCCTTCCATCTGGCGATACATTGAGCAGTGCTCGTTCCAAGCTCCAAACCCATCTTCCCACTAAGGGAGTAGGTCTTGAAGAAAGCATACGGCACCTACGCCAAGACCTAGTTCCAGCATTCAACGCCTCTTCTCGCTCCCCTAATTACTACGGCTTCGTAACTGGTGGAGTCAACCAGGCAGCGGCCCTTGCCGACAACCTAGTCACAGCATTTGACCAGAACGTGCAAGTGCACTTGCCCAATGAGACCATTGCCACAGATGTGGAGGACCGGGCACTGTCTTTGCTTTGCGAGCTGCTGAACTTCGAGCCCTCGCAATGGCCTCATCGTATCTTCACTACGGGTGCTACAGCAGCCAATGTTTTAGGGCTCGCTTGTGGACGGGAATATGTGATTGCTGAAGCTTCCGCACACCGTACCGATGCCGAGAACAGCGTTGGCGAAATTGGTATCGTAGAAGCTATGCGCAGAGCTGGCATCGACGACATCCAAATCTTGACTACTGTACCACACTCATCATTAAGCAAAGCTGCAAGCATTCTGGGGCTTGGGCGAGCAAGTGTCAAGTGTCTAGGTTGCTCAGATGCACCGCACAAATTTGACATGCAGCTACTCAAAAAGTCACTGGAACTACCGGGTGCTGCATCAATAGTCGTGGTATCAGCTTCGGAAGTCAATACAGGCGTCTTCGCTACGTCAGGACCAGAAGAGATGCAAGAACTTCGTAAGCTGTGTGACATGCATGGGGCATGGATACACGCCGATGGCGCATTCGGTCTTTTCGGTCGGATCCTTTCGTCCCCTGCCCACTCTTCTATTATAGAAGCATGTGCCGACCTGGAACTGGCAGATTCAATAACCGGTGATGGACACAAACTCCTCAACGTGCCCTATGACTGTGGCTTCTTTCTTTCCAGACACCGCGCCATGGCTGAACGTGTATTCCAAAATCCCAACGCTGCCTATCTCGCATCTGGTAACGGCCCCGATACCATCATGTCACCACTGAACATTGGCCTGGAGAACTCTAGGCGTTTCAGAGCTTTGCCGGTGTATGCGAGCTTGGTGGCATATGGAAGGGACGGATACCGAGATATGCTTGAGCGCCAAATCCAATTGGCACGTGGAATTGCCCAACATATTCTGGAAAGCAGCCAGTACGAGCTGCTTCCCCAGGAAGCAGCTCCTCATGAGGATATTTTGAGCGGAATTTTCATCATCGTGCTGTTCCGTGCAAAGGATGAGGAGCTTAACAAGCAACTCGTTGATAAAATTAAGGCAACAAGGAAAATTTACGTTTCGGGCACTTCGTGGGAAGGAAGGCCGGCATGTCGTTTCGCAATATCAAACTGGATGACGGATGTTGAAAGGGATTTACCAGTCATTAAACAGGTATTACGGGACATTGCTTAGGAAAAGAACTCCTTATCATCCTACATAAATCCAGTCTTGCTATATATAATAAATCAGTGCCGTGTGAAACACCAACCTCCTCAAATGTCTTCAATCTTATACACCTCGTATGCAACCTCCTCATATGGATGTGCTCTGCTTCAGTCAATATTTTTCTACTTTACCGCATAGGTGAACTCACTTTTTCAGTGCTTCGACAGCCTTGACGGCTGCATCGCGCCCTAGACATAGCGTCTCTACTCTGTATTCATCAGCCTCTTCCAGCTCGCCAACTTTCCCGATCTGTCCAAGTATCATCAGCCTCCTGCTTTGGTTCTGTACAGGTATATAAAAAGTCCAACACAACTTACATTTGGATTGGCAGCATCACCAGGCCTGAACTGTCCGGTGCCCCTGGTACAGAAGCATACCTCGGTATATCCACCCGGACCTGGGTAACGTCCTGCACCAGCGCTGAAAACAGCGGTCTTGCAAGCGCTCAGTGCCGAGGGAGGCACGAAGAAGACAAGCTTGAACTTTTGGAGAGCGGATGTCATGGGGGCAGGTATAGCAAGATGGTATGAAAGAGCAGGGTAATGTTTTTGGTGATAATTAGATGAAAGTATTCGAATGGAAGAGAAGGAGGCTGATCAGGCCATGATAAATACATCTACCGACGAGTGACACTGTAGTGGGGACCGACATTGTCATTATATCACCTACGGCGCCCTACACAAAATTGACATGTTGACATCGGGATCATGATGCCTATCTCGTCCAACTAGCAAGCAAAGTTTGCTTACAATTCCCGATGATCTATGGAAACGTGATAGTGGACTACCAATGGCCAAAATATCCCTTCTTGCTGGAGGGGCGGACTATGTGGTTCAGGTCCCTGAGGCCAAAGGGACGCGTGGGGCGGCCGCGGGGTTGACCCGTGCTTAGCGTGGTTTCCTCGAAAACAAACAATGGAAGGCGCAGGGCAGCAATCAGCCAGAAGACCCGAGGGACACACGGCCTCTATATCACGACTAACATACACGCACAGCGACACCGACAATGTCTTATGAGACGCCCAGGAAGTCGACGCGCGCCGCTGCAACACGCCGAAAGGCGCCCGTCATTGAGGAATCAGATGGCGAGGAGAACGGGACACCAACCCCGGAAGTGAAGGAAGAGGAAGAGGAGGAATTCACACCAGCACCTGCGCCACTCAAGACTGGACGAGGGAGGGGGAGACCAAAAAAGGCTGTGGCCCAGGGCGAAGATGCAACACCCAAGCCAGCTGCAAGGCGGCGGCCTCGCATTACCGAGTCTGCGGAGCCTACACAAGCATCGAGTCGTGCAGTGGAGAGCACCAGGGCCTCTTCGCCTCCCAAGGCAATGCCCAAGAAGCGTGGGCGGAAGCCTCGCGCTTCAGTTGCTCCGGTAGAGCCGGTTGAGGAATCGTCCCAGTTACTCACACCTGACCCCTCTGTATCCCCTGAGCCTGAGCAGGCCTCCGAGACCACAATCGCACCTAGCTCGCCTCAAGCCGACGTTGACGGCGACACGGTTATGACCGACGCAGCGCCTATCTCTGAACTACAGCCAGAGATTGAGCCAGAGACAGAGCTGGAAGCAAAGCCCGAACCCATTGCTGAAGTTACACAAATAGAGGCGAAGGAGGAGACCCCCATACCAGAGCCCGAAGTAGAGACTCAGCAACCAGAAGAACCACAAACTCCGGCTAAGGCATTGGAAGATGCCAACACACAGCAAACTATGCTCGAACCCATTGATATTGTGGTCAAGAGGCGAGCGGCTGCCATACCCTCTTTACATGAGCCTGCCCCACCAAAGCAGCGCACAGTGATCACCTGGCTTGTTCTAAACAACTTCAAGAGTTATGCTGGTCGACAAGAAGTGGGTCCATTTCATGCCTCATTCTCTTCGGTCGTGGGACCAAATGGTTCAGGCAAGTCCAACGTCATTGACTCGCTACTTTTCGTCTTTGGTTTCCGCGCAAACAAGATGAGACAGAGCAAGCTCTCGGCCCTGATCCACAACTCGGCTGCGTTTCCAAACCTGGACTTTTGTGAGGTCGAAGTCCACTTCCAGGAAGTCAAAGATCTTCCTGAGGGCGGGCATGAGGTTATCCCGGACTCACAGCTCGTGATTTCGCGAAGGGCTTTCAAGAACAACTCTAGCAAGTACTATATTAACAGAAAGGAGTCAACGTTCACCATTGTCACAAATCTGCTCAAGGATCGAGGAGTTGATCTGGACCATAAGCGCTTTCTCATTCTCCAGGGCGAGGTTGAGTCTATTGCACAGATGAAACCAAAAGCCCAGGGCGAGCACGATGACGGTCTTCTTGAGTACCTGGAAGATATCATTGGTACGTCCAAGTACAAGACACCAATTGCAGAGTCTGAAGTAGAAGTCGAAACTTTGAACGAAGTCTGCCGGGAGAAGAGCAGTCGTGTGCAACACGTAGAAAAAGAAAAGGGCGCTCTAGAGGAGAAGAAAGATAAAGCTCTAGCGTATATCCGAGACGAGAATGAGCTCGCTTCGAAGCAGTCCACCCTCTACCAGATTTATGTTTCCGAGTTTGATGATCACATCCAGGTCACCCAGGAATCCGTTACTCAGCTGCAGGCTCAGCTAGACGAGGAACTCCAAAGACATCAGGGCAACGAAGAAGAGATCAAGGAACTCGAGCGCCGATACAAGAAGGGCGTAAAGGAATGCGAGCAGCTCGAAAAGAAGAATCAGGAATTCCAAAAGGAAGTAGCTCGCATCGACAAAGAGACCGTCAAGTTCGAAGAGAAGAAAAAGTTCCTAGCGGGCAAGCAAAAGAAACTCGAAAAGACCAAAGAAACAAGCTACTACGGTCGCTCAGAGGCGGAGAGTCTCGCAAAGCAGTACTCTGCTGATCTCGAACGTTATGCTGAAGAAATCGCTGAAATCGAGGAAAGAATGAAGGCCGAAGAAAAGGAGCTTGAGGCTATTCGGAAGAGCCTTGCAGGCAAGACGCAGGGTCTTTCGGACGAGATCGCAGCAAAGCAAAAGTCCTTGGAGCCTTGGAAAGCCAAGATCAACGAGAAACAATCAGCCATTGCTGTCGCGCAAAGTGAACTCGACATTATGCGTGAGCGCGAGAATGCGGGTGCCAAGGGTATCGCCGATGTCGAGGCCAGAATCGAAGGCTTAGAGGAAGCGAAACAGGCCAAGGCTGCAGAGCTTGACGAATGCAAGGCTGAAAGGAGACGAGTGGAGAAAGACATTCAGAAAACGCAAGCCAAGCTCGAAGAGATTACGCAGAAAGAACCTCTGTTGAGGTCGAAGCTTTCTGGAGCACGAGCAAAGGCTGATGAGGCTCGTGCCAGTCTTTCCTCTGCTCAGACTCAAGGCAATGTCTTGACAGGTCTCATGCGCTTGAAGGAGTCTGGACGTATCGACGGCTTCCACGGTCGTCTTGGCAATCTGGGTACCATCGATCAGAAATATGACGTTGCCATATCGACGGCCTGTCCACAGCTGGACAACATGGTTGTTGATACTGTGGAATCTGGTCAGCAGTGCATTGAATACCTACGAAAGAATAACCTTGGCCGTGCCAACTTCATCCTACTGGACCGTCTTGCCAAGCGCGACATGTCGCCTGTTCAAACTCCAGAGAATGTACCTCGCCTCTTCGACCTTGTCAAACCCAAGCACGAAAAACTCAGGCCCGCCTTCTTCCAGGTCATGACAAACACACTTGTAGCTGAGGACCTGGACCAGGCTGAGCGTATCGCGTATGGTGCCAAACGATGGCGAGTTGTTACCCTGGACGGCAAGCTCATTGACACAGCAGGAACCATGAGCGGTGGTGGAAGTCGCGTGGTAAAGGGCAAGATGTCATCTAAGCTTGCGTCAGATGTCTCGAGGGACCAAGTTGCCAAGCTTGAACAGGATCGAGATACACTGGAGCAGACCTTCACAGAGTTCCAGCAAGAGCTGCGTGAGCTAGAGACAAGACTGCGAGATCTCAACCAGCAAATTCCTGAGCTGGACACCAAGGCACAGAAGCTTGCACTCGAGTTGGAGAGTTTCGACCGCAACATCCTCGACTGCCAGCGCCGCATCAAGGAGCTAGGCAGCGAGCAAGCGTCCACTAAGACGGATAAGGGTCGCATCTCGTCACTAGAGAAGAGCATCGCTTCGATGGAGAAGGAGGTTTCCAAGCTTGGCGCCGAGACAGAAGACATTGAGGCTGAGATCAAGGCCCTACAAGACAAGATTATGGAGATTGGAGGTGTCAAACTGCGAAGTCAAAAGGCCAAGGTTGATGGTCTGAAGGGCCAGATCGATACGCTTACCGAGCAGGCTTCAAACGCTGAGGTTTCCAAATCGAAAGAGGAGAAGCAACGCGCCAAGCACGAGAAGGCACACAACGACGCCATCAAGGAACTAGAGAAGCTTGCTGCCGAAGCCGAGAAGGTTGAGGGAGATATGGCCTCTCAACAACGGGATGTCTCTGGAATACGACAACAAGCTGAAGAAGCACAAGAGGAGCTTGAGACCAGAAAGGAAGAGTTGCAGGTCGTCAAGAACGAGCTTGATGAGAAGATGACCCAACTCAACGAGACACGTGCTGTCGAGATTGAGATGCGCAACAAGCTCGAAGAAGGACAAAAGACTCTTAATGAGTTTCAGAAGAAGCAGGCCTACTTCCAAGATAAGCTGAGCAAGCTTGCGTACAACAGTGTAACAGACCTGGGCGAAGAGCAAGAAGGCGGCAGTGGCGGCGAAGGTCTACCCTCCTACAGCAAAGACGAACTCCAGGATATGGACAAGGGTGCTCTCAAGGAGCAAATTGCGCACCTGGAGAAGAAGAACGAGTCTACACAAGTCGATCTGTCTGTTCTCGCCGAATACCGCAAGCGTGTGGAAGAGCATGCTGCACGCTCAGCAGACCTGGCGACTGCCGTCAGCGCACGTGATGCTGCAAAGCACAAATGCGAAGAACTTCGACGCCTACGCAAAGAGGGCTTCAAGGAAGGCTTCGACATCATCACGGCACGTCTCAAGGAGATGTACCAAATGATTACCATGGGTGGCAATGCCGAACTCGAGTACGAAGATACGCTCGATGCCTTTTCTGAAGGTATTCGTTTCTCCGTCATGCCTCCTAAGAAATCTTGGAAAAACATCAGCAACTTGTCTGGTGGAGAGAAGACGCTGTCATCCCTTGCCTTGGTATTCGCACTGCACCATTACAAGCCGACGCCTTTATACGTTATGGACGAGATTGACGCCGCGCTGGATTTCCGAAATGTGAGCATTGTCGCCAGCTACATCAAAGAGAGGACCAAGAATGCGCAGTTCATAGTCATTTCGCTCCGAAACAACATGTTTGAACTTGCAAGTCGGTTGGTTGGTGTTTACAAGGTTAATCACATGGTGAGTAACGCAATGATAAAGTTATGGTGGCCTGAATCCTAGCTAACAACGCGACAGACAAAGAGTGTTACGATTGAGAACAAGGATTATATCAACGCCCAGGCATGACGAGAATGACTAGCAACGCTATATCTTCTCAATATGGGCGTTTGGGTGTTTGGGAATGGTATCACGAGGGATGCGTTTGGTATAGAGCAAGTTGGGGTTACGATACCACAGGGAAATGTCCACGGCTTGGTACTTGACGACTGATGCAATTTTAATGTTATCTTTCTTGAATGACTGTACCTATTAGACGTTTTATTGAATATGAAAATAACGTTCAAATCATCGTCGTGATTGTTTATTGATTGTATTATATAAGACGGAGCGGAAGCTGATGTCCGCGAACCATCGCGCTAATCGGACCGCTCATGGAACGACGCATGGACCAATTCGCCGCGGCCTTCGAACTTGTGAACCGCGACTCCTCCATCAGTTGCACACGACAACGAGCCCGTTGGCCACACCGACTGCGGCGGATCGAAATCACCAGGAGATACATTGGAATCACAGTCGCGACGAGTGTGCCAACCGGACCGATTGCCTTCATTACGTGTCACTGTATTCCGAGCGCGGTGGCAGCGTGAATGACGGTACGCGCACCCCTCGGTCCTTCACCCGCCCCGCGGTGCATACTTCGCTCTTACCCATAATTTGCGCGGCTGCAATTATATCGGAATTGATAGCGAACTTCATACACTCTGATTTCACTCTTTGAGGACGCCCGCATCGCACGCGACCATGGACGACGAGCACAACCCAACGGCGAGCAGCCACAGCGACGCAGCGGAAGATGAAGACTTTGCAAGAATCATGCGCCAGGCGCAAATGGGGGCGGCGGAAGGCGAAGAAGACTTGTTAAGTGGCATCGCCTCGCGTCCACTTGAGGCTGGCGAGAAGGCGGATGATGCCGTGGATTACGAGGATATTGGCGATGATGATCTGCCTGAAGAAGAGTTTGAGTCTGGCGGAGGCGATGACGACGCCGGTATCAACTTTAGCGGAACCACAATGCAGGACTCCGGTGGCACACTCGATAACGGCGACGTGGATATGGATGATTTGTTTGGCGATGGCGATGCACAGGACGACCTTTTTGGCGATGACCCAGATCATTCAGATCCTACACGGGAAAATACACAGCACAAGGACGACCCACTCACATCCATCGAGGATCTAGTCCAAGAAGGCTTCAACGTGGCTGGTCAGGACAAGTCGCAACAGAGCAGCCGCACCAATGCACAAACGGCGACTCAGGAGGAAGAGGAAGAGGAGGAAGACCCGGAAGTGCGTGAACAGCTGGCCCTCTTCGCCCAGTCTCTTCGCAAGAAGGATGAGTTAGCGGATGCACCTAAGAAGACATCAAGAGAGGAATTTGAGAAGATTTGGCCCAACTTTGAGGCAGACAAACCGCCACGTTTCTTCAGTCTCGTACCGCGAAAACGCGCCTTTTACATCCCAAAAGTTCCGCCAAAGGCACCAAGGCCGTTCCAAATGAACAAACTTACTCTGGACATCGCACCAGATCAGGAGAAGAGTTTTCGATTACATCCCACGACCACCGCCAAGTCCGGCCGGCAACAAGAGGAGGAGCAAGGTGGAATCATACAAATCACGAGCACTGCAGAAGATGATGGTGATGGGAACGAGCAGATGGATTTCGATCACTTTGATACGATTGACGATCACGAAATGATTGGCAATGTATCATGGAGCGACCTTAGAATCGCCTGTGAGGACTGGGAAGTTCCAGATGACTCAAACGCTGCAATCCTTTCCGAGAACGGTCAAGCACCAACTCCACCTGATAGTGTCAATGCTGGGCAGTCACCGAGCAAGAAACGCAGACTCGGAGACCACGACCAGTCCATCCAGTTTTCTGTGTACGATCACATGGATTTGCCCACTTGGGACGATCCTGAGCTGGAGACGGCAAAGCTGTCAAAGAAGATTCTCCTGGACATGAATGACCCTCATCTCCTGCTGGATGTACAACAGCCGAGTGCAGAGCCTCCAAAGCCTCGAACATTGGGCCTGGGACTCAAGCGCGATAGTCGCGGCAGTCTTGCAAACCCTATGTTCAAGCGCTACAATATTTCTAATGATGAGGCATATGACGCGCTCAAAGAAAGCAGCCAACAGAAGGTCCGTAGTACTATTGGACACATGAACGTTGAGCACAGTCTGCCCGCACTCAAGTTGCAATATCCTTTCTACAAGGTTGCACTTTCCGATCGCGAGCTTCGATCTTTCCATCGGCCCACCATTACATTCAAGCCTGGTGAGCGAGCCAGTATCTCGTCACTCAAGTCAGTCAAAAGAAAGCACAAGAAAAACCTCAAGCCATCCGAGGCCTTCGCTACCGCAGAAGACCTCAACATTGGTGATAACTCAGATCTCCTCCTCGCTGAATACTCGGAAGAGTACCCTACCACTTTGTCCAACTTTGGCATGGGCATCAAGATTCTCAACTACTACCGGCGGAAAGATATGGAAGACACAGCACGTCCGAAACCGGAAGATGGAATTGGGGAAACTTCGATCCTGCTACCACAGGACAAGAGTCCTTTCTCTCTGTTTGGCCAAGTCGAGCCAGGCCAGCAGGTACTAACGCTCCACAACGCCATGTATAGAGCGCCAGTGTTCAAGCACAAGCCTGAAGAGACCGATTTCCTCGTTAGCAGAAGCTGGACTGGGGTTAATGGCCCCAGGTACTACATGCGGACTATTCCCAACCTTATGGTGGTTGGTCAGCAGTTCCCATCCGTCGAGGTGCCTGGTACACATGCCCGAAAGGTTACTGAAGCATCGAAGAAGCGACTCAAGATGCTGGCGTTCAGATTGTACCGAAAAGGACAACAGAGAGGAGCGCGACAACCTTGGGTTAGTAACGAGATGATCAAGCAGCATCTTCCCGGTACTGAAATTGCGCAAAATCGCTCTCGAATGCGCGAGATCATGAAGTACCAAAAGGACATAGGTACTTGGGAGCCTGTGCCTGGCGAGACTGTGCCTGAAGAGCCAATTTTGCGCACTTGGATAAAGCCGGAAGACGTTTGTCTTATTGACTCCATGCATGCTGGTGACAAGCAGCTTCAGGACGCCGGTATCAAGTCGAATGAGATCCGTGATGACGACGATGAAGCAGACAACGAAAACGCCGATGTCAAGTTGGCGCCGTGGAACACTACGAAGAACTTCTTGAATGCATGTGCCGGCAAGGCTATGCTGGAGCTTCATGGAGAAGGTGACCCTACTGGACAAGGCTTGGGATTCAGTTTCATCAAAGTCTCGATGAAGGGTGGCTTTAGGGATGTTGGTGAGAGTGCCGCTGATCGACTTGATAGCAAGAAGATGAAGGAACTCGGCGGTCACAGCTACAACGTACAGCGCCAGCAGGTTATGTATGAGAACGCTATCAAGCGTATTTGGAACAAGCAGAAGGAGAGTCTATCTGCTCAGAACCCGCCTTCCGATACCGAGGACGATGTCGACACAGCCGTGCCCCGCAACAATCTCCCACGTCAACGTTCTGAGATGGGAACGCCAGCTACAATGCGGCATGACGATGAAACAATGTCGCAAATGTCTCGCAATAGCAATGCAGACAACCGCGGCAAGAAGCTCAAGATCACACGAACCATCAAGAACAAGTACGACGAGTACGAGGACGTCACAGAAATCATCACAGATCCAGCTGTCATTCAACTCTACATCAAGCACAAGCGCCAAGAGCGTCTGCTGAACATGCGTATCGAAGACATCAAGCCCACCGGCGACCCTGAAGTAGACAAGGCTCAGCAAATCAAGCTCAAGGCCGAGCTTGCCCGTCTCGCCCGCAACATAGAACGTCGTGAGGGTCGAGAAAAGGCAAAGGGCCTACACAAATCACAGACAGGCGAAGGAGGCGTAACCGGTGGTCCAGGAAAGGGGGGAGCAACACCTCGCAAGTGCGCTAACTGCGGCGAGGTGGGCCACATCAAGACGAACAAAAAGTGTGTTAACAAGTTCTCTGAAATTCTTTCCCCTCTTTTATCGATTGAACAATTCTTTACTAACAATGGTTTAGGCTCTGTCCTCTCCTCAATGGCCAGAGGAAACAAAACGACACTTTCAAAGATGCGAATGCTGCATCACCGGCTACTGCGACTGTTCCTGCCACTCCTTCTTTTGCTGGTTCACCGTCTTGAAATCAGGGTCGGTCTTGAGGATCGTGTTATGGGTATGCCTCTTATCACGATGGTGCAATAGTGGTATCATATCGCTGTTACTCATCAGCCTTGTGTTCACGTTGGTATGAGATGGAGATGTGGCACAGGTATCACATTTCCAGCAAGCGCATTTGCGCTATGATGTGCGGAATAGTCATGAGGGCGACTCCTTCGTGTACATGCAAGTATGAAAAGGAATATCATGCTTGCCATCTCCCTGGTCCAGGGTTGTGTTGTTCGGGTTCTACGGAAGGTATGGTGAAGCGCTGATGAAGCGTGTTACATGTTATTCTTTCCTTCTTCCTCTCTTAACAAGAGAGTTTTTTTTCAATGCATAGCGACGGTGTTTTGGGACGCTGCATTTAATATTCATCACGCAAAAAGGAACAAAATTTTAAAGTTGCCGGTTCATAGGAACAGTGTAGGCAGAAGACTGAGCTCAAGTCAGACAGGGAAGTCATCAATTACTAGAGAGCTGTAAGGTCGAACAGGAGGTTATGAGACACTTTGTCTAGTGAACAATCTATTCATTTTCCTCTTCCATCTCGAAATCAAAGTCTCCAAAATACACACATAGAGCCTATCCTCATTAGCATACCTATTAAGACCATCATAATCAATCTTCACTTACCTTACTTGCACCCATCATAGCATAATGTGCCACCTCGAGCTTCTTGCCATCTTGGCCATACTTGGCAATTTGATTGAGATCCGATGTCCTCGGCAGATACAATACCACTTCATTGCTCACTTTCGTGAAGGCTTTGTAGAGCTTATCAAGGTTGTACGGCTCCATCTTTGTCAGATCAAAGACATTCTCAGCGCCATACTCAGTCCCTGTACCTATCAGCATTGCATAATCAACCAGAAAAAGGCGGCACCACTACAAACCTCCCCAGGGCGGACTCGCAAACACCACAACATTCTTCTGGCCCGAAAACCTATTGATGGCATCGAAGCAATCCGCATTGAGCCAGAAAATCTTGTTGCTCACCCCATAAATCTCGGCATTGTGCTTTGCGCACTTTAGCGTCCTCGCATCCTTCTCAATCGCAAACACGCGTTCCCACCGACCAGACCGCGCAAGTGCGATGGCGTTGCCGCCTACGCCCGCAAACGCGTCGACAATGACAGTTTTTTCTTTGGGCGCAGACTCGGCAATGTGCGCGGCTATCTTGTTGGCGATGGGTTCGGGGGTTACGCCGAACCAGGCGTCTTCGGTCATCCAGATGCCTTGATCGTAGTTTTCCCAGATTTTGAAGCGTTGGAACCAGTATCTGTGTGAGCCATTAGGAATCTTTTTTCTCTTCTTTTCTTTTTTTTGCAGAGATAACGTCATAAGTGACTATGGCAATGAAGGGGGGTTAAAAACAATACTTTTTGAGGTGTTCGGGGAATTGCTCGACGCGGGACCACTGGTCTACATCGTTCTCGTCGCCGTTGTCGCTCATTTTAGAAGAAGTATTTTCTCTTGTTCCTGGACAGTACTATAGCCATAGAGTTCACGTACTGCAAAAAAAAGCTTCGAAGAAAAAGAGTAAAAAAAAAAAAGTTCAAGTTCTGCAGCACAAAGTAACAACCAGCGCGGGCCAGATCGACCACAATAGCAGATAGTTCGAAGCAACACAGTCTAAACCCCACCTTACCCTATCCAGCTTAGCCCCACCCAGCAACACGATTCCCCTTTGCTTGCGTCAAGCCACATGTTATATATCGAAACCATCCAACGACACTCAAACTCCCACTCCGCGCCCCACCCCTCTCCATTCCCCTCTCCACATACATCGCCTCCTGCAAATAAATAAACAAAAAATAGCATCACACACACACAAACGTCTCTTCCCATCATGTCCGTCTTCGGCGCCCTAAACCGCTTCATATCGCGACTAGACGCTGCACCGCTCCCATCCGACACGCACGCGCAGCAGCACCACCACCACCAATCGTCGACGAACGGGGCGTACGGGTTTCAGGTGCTGCGGAATGCGAATTTGGAGATTCCGCTTGAGCCGTGGTTTGATTTTGTGATTGGGATTAATGGGAGGACTATTGTGAGTTTTTTTCTTTCTTTCTTTCTCTCTTTTGTCCTTTTTTAGCGCAGTTTTTTTTTAATTGTAAGAGAAGGATTGATTGATATTGGGGGGAGGGGGGGGGAAGGAGGAGCACGTGCAAAGGGCAAAGGGGAAGGGGGGAAAGGAAGAGAGAGAGGATGGGGCAAGCATGGAGGGGGGAAGGAAAAAAAAAGGAGGGATGACGGATGAAGAAATGGGTGCGGGTCAAGTGAATCGTTGCTTTAGGATGTTGTGTGTGTGTATATTTTTTTTCTGTGCTAATCTGGTTTTGTTTTGAGTACAGGATAATCCGGATCCCAATCTCTTTGCGACAGAAGTGCGTAACTGTGCCGGGACGACGATTAGCTTGGGCATTTTCAGTGCAAAGGTACGTTCCGTTCCCATTTATGTTTCATTAACGGCGGCGGGTGCAGCTCTCCCTGGGTCTGTGTGTTCTTCTTTTTGGTCGACTAGATGCTTAGAGCCGCATTGAGTGCGTCATATCTCACGGGAGATTTTGCTTTTATGCAACGGGTCATTTTCCAAAAGCATTGTTTATTTTTTTTTGGACCAAAAAATGTCCCGAACACACGTCACCCGGGCGGTCATAGCTAAGCCTTTCTTTTAATTGCTTTTATTTTTTATTTATTTCTCATTTTTCATATTAACGCGGAATCTAAACTAAAGCCGTTGTTGCGTAGGGCCAGAAGATTCGCGAAGTCTATCTTCAGATCCCAGCAGATCAACCAACGCTAGGAATCGCCCTGCAATGGTCACCGCTTGCCGTTGCAGAAGACGTCTGGCATATCCTGGATGTAGCCCCGAACTCGCCCGCAGACACCGCAGGACTACTTCCTTATGGTGACTACGTCATTGGCAGCCCCGAAGGTCTCGTGCGCGGCGAGTCTGGACTCGGCGAGCTTGTCGAAGACTTCCTAAATAGGCCGTTGAGACTCTATGTTTACAACCATGAGTACAACGTGACCCGACCCGTGACCATCACGCCGACGCGAAACTGGGGCGGTGAGGGAGCATTGGGTTGCGTCCTCGGTTTCGGTGCGCTGCATCGTATTCCAGCCGGTCTAGATGAGCCTCCGCCAGCTCCTGGGGAAACCTTCTTCTCGGCAGGCGATGCTAGCGGAAGTACATCGTTTGACGAAAAACGTCCCTTGGTGTCTTCCATGGGCATTCCTGCTCAGTCGGGTGCGCCGGCTGAGCTCTTCGTCCCAGCCAACATGGCGCTACCGGCCAAGTCGCCTCCTCCCCAAGGCACCGCGCCACCGCCTAAAAAGAAGGGCAGAGCGCACCATGTGGCCAGTTCGGCGACGGGTGGTGGTGGTGGACTGGATGACTACTTCAAGGAAGGCGAGCAGAAGAGTCTGGAGCAAGACTATGCACCGACAAAAGGCAGCGGCGTGCCTCCTCCACCCAAGGCTGGTGGTCCGCCCAGAGGACCCCCAAAGAGCGGTAGTGCAAGTAGAACGGGTACACCCTTGCAAGGCGGCGGTGACGCTGAGAGTGCAACTGGCGCTGAGACAGAAGAAACAGCATGATCAGACTACATTGAATGTTAGTAAACCGTCACACACACTCGATCGCTTCCAATGTAGAATACTACACTTGAAAGCAATAAGAATATGAAAAGAAAAAAAAGACATACCTTTTAACGTCATCCACCCTCTCTTTCTCTAATCGTTTCCTTGAACGTTTCACTCCTCAGCCTCAAAATCCAACTCCTCCCTAAACCGACTCGTCCGCTTCGTCATCGTCATCGTCATCGTCACCATCTTCCTCTCCACAACACTCTCTTTGCTGCCCTGTGTGCCATGGTGCGTCATAAACGAGTCTGTTCGCTCTTGCACCTGTGGTCGCTCTCCCGCCGTGGCATCGACGGCCGTCGTGCTGGCTGAGGCTTGCTTGCGGCCGCTCAGCCGCTCAAATGAGGATAGCGGGGAAGAGGCCTGGGGCGAGATGGGAGATTGGACGGGTGTGGTGTCTGGGGAGGAGGAGGCAGAGAGGGAGGTTTTGAGTTTGGTGGTTAGGGTGCGGAAGATGGGCATTTTGTCCGTGTTTGTATGCGTAGTGTTCAAGTTGTTGTTGTCGTTGTTGTTGTTGTTGTTGTTGTCGCAATGATGAATCCTGGTGTGGAGCGTGTGTGCATGTATTGAGTAGTCGCGTGCGTAGATGTGTAGTGTATGCGCGTAGAAGAAAAAAAAGGGGGGGTTGAGTGTGCTGGGATATCGAGGGAAGTTTATATGTAGCAGGTATAGTATTGACCGAAGGTATATAAAAAAAAAGGTTCTAGACTTGTAGACTTTTTTCTTAATTGCCCGTTCCAGGTACACTCGGCAAGGTTAATCGCCCAACGGAGAGCGGATCTGTATACCGGGATGGGGCGGCGGCGGCCGGGGGGCAACGGGAGGGACACGAAAAGGTTAATGCAGAAACACGCGAGGGCACAACCGCGTACCTAAATACCCTTTTTTATTTTTGTTCCTTTCACGCCTGCCTGGTCTGTCCGCCACCACCATATGCAGCGTAAGATGGAAGAACCCACCCCCTCCCTAATTTAGAGGGCATGCGAGCGGAGCGAGGGGCGGCGGCGGCGGACATACTATGTCAGGGGTGTGCGTGCTGCGTGTGCGACTTTCAAGCGTTACCCGCACTTGCCTCCCGCCCTCCTTCCCTAATTTCCTTAACTGAACTAGCAACTAATTACTCCACAACATCAAGCATACGTACTTACATACCACATGGTCAGCCGCTCCGCTGTCCGCCCCCTGCTTTCCCTGCAATGGAGAAGGGGGGCTGGCCAGCGGCCAATCAAGTATGCAAAGAAGGTCAGACGGCGGCGGTGGTGGATCTCTCTTAGCACAGGGAACCCGCCGTTTGAAACTACTGCGCGTGTTTATTGACCAGGAAAACTCGAGGGTACAAGTACGTTAGGCGCTAGCTTTTTGGCGTTTTGGCCTGGCGGGCTCCGGTACGAAAGCTAGCGGGGTTGGGGTTGGGTTGGTCCTGCCCAACCTGGTCGGTATCGGTGGGGTTGGGCCATCTCTTTTCTTTCTTTGGTGGTTGGTTGTCGCAGAGAGTAAGGAGGAGGGGGGACCCACAGCGGCTACAGTAGTAAGCAAGTAAGTAAGTAAGCACATGTTTGTGTGTGTGTCGTGCGTTTGCCTGGTGTGCCACAAGGGTTATTGAATGTGTGTGTGTGTCGTCGTGTGTGGGGTTGGCGGCACCTGCAAAGGCCAGACCCTGCGCTAGAACCGTCGATCGGGTCAACTGGGGGCGTTTTCTTATGTCTGTGTTTAGTTTATTTTGAAGGTTCCGAGAAAAGACATGTAGGTTCCGCGGCGGGGAGCGAGGAAGGAACGGAGACAGGGGGGCGGGAAATGAATAACGGTTGCCCAGGAAGGTTTCCAAGTACATGAACTGTGGAGATGTTTTTTTGTTGCTGTGGGGTGAGGGAGACGGTGTGCATTGTGGGAAAATGGGAGGAGCATGACAATGACAATGACAATGACATGGCATTTGCATGGGCTTTGCACAAACCAAAATGGTTTGGTCAACACATGACTTGTGAGATTGGCGACGATCTGCAGTTGCATGGCGGTATCATCAAGAAACAGAAGCGCTTCTCTCGTCAAAAACCCGTCAGCTGGTCTCCGCCCGGTATCATTAGTCTGATCTACACCGAGCCATATCCGGACGGCGGCTTGATGACACTATGTCCTTTGGGCCAAGTGTAGCGATTGGCTTGCACACAAGACCACATGTATTTAACGTCTATTAGGAGACGGGCTTGGCTCTTCATGCTCGGGCAAACAAGCTTCCCTCCCGCCCACTTCACCGCCATATGTACTTTGCCGGCTTCTGCATCTCTTCTGCCATTATTTGCTTGTTTCGTGATTGGCCCAATCAGGAAATAAAGTGTGGTTTGTCTGACAACAGGAAACATTGACGAGAGGCAACAGGTCATGCGCACCACCCTCGATACTTACACGCAACAAAACACTATACCCCTCCTTTTCATGGCCACGAATCGCAACGCTTGCCAGCCGGGCGATTTGGTCTCTGTCGACGCCAGTCCAAGGTCCGGTCTGAGGAGCGGCGTCGGGTAAGTAGGTGTGCTCGAATCGTTACTTCCGAATTCGTCATAGGCTCTTTATCCGGATGACTATTATAAACGCCAATCGATACGAATCAGTCAACGCTTTGTCCGTGCAGCAAACAGTGGCGGTGGCAGCAGCTGCCCCCTTTGTTCACCATTGTTCAGCAGCCGACTACTACGTATTCTAACGTTGATTTTCCGGGACCCAAGACGCCTGTTCAGCCCAAGCCCCCCCCACATCGCTTCGTTCCCTGCAGTAGGCAATGGCCAAAATAGATATCTTGCTGCCGGCTTTTTGCGACCAGCCGAAATCCTACCGGCTATTCCTCTCATGCTCGCCATGCGCAATCTCCCCTCTCGTGTTCTTCACTCCCAACAGAGTCTGGCCATTCCAGACCCATCCTACGCCTTCATCGTGTCAACAGTGGGCGTTTCGTTGCGATAGTGGTTTGGTCTTGGCATGGACGCCTACTTCCCCAACCCCCGTGAACTGACATGTGACGTATACTTAGCTTCTGACACTCACGGACTCTCCCGCCCGCATTAAACCACGGCTCAGTCACCGCATCTTTTTTCCTTTGCCGAACCGCCGCCGCCCCCATCCTCAGCACCACTCTGTCACGAGGGCTGGTGCCGAGCCTTTAGATGCTGACGTAACCCAGCATGATAATGTGGAAGACAGAAGCCCGACTACATTGCATAGTGCATGATTGACGGCTTGATCGTCGGGACTGTGCTGTACAGGCTGGAGAGACCAAAGTATCATGGCAACGTGCATATCCGCACTTGACTTGTATTCGCAGACATAATCTATCTCTGCATCTCTTCATTCATCATGACTGCAGCACGGAGCATTTCCGTTCCTTGGATGCAGTGTTTCAACCTGCTTTTGAGTAGTGCCTGCTTGCACTGCTCTTAAAAAGTAAATATAGTAAAACGCCGTCCAATCCGTTGTGCTAATAATGCTGGGGGGAAACGCCGGGACTAGACCCATGGCCCAGGGAAACGTGTGGGGGGCCGTGACAGAACGCCAATAAGCAAGACCAAGATCAAAATCGCAAAAGTCCAAACCGTTTCATCTAATGTCCAACTGGAAGGGCTTGAACTTGGCCCCAATGGTGCTGCACCGTGGACACGTCGGAGCGCGACCGCGATTGTGTTCGCTGACCAGAACGTCGACGCACTCCTGGCACAGACCGCAGATGCATTCAGAGCATGCATAGCTGTCGCGCAATATGGATAGCTTCCGACAGGCAGCGCAGTATATTTGAACAGGAAATAGGGAGTTGGGGGACGAGTCAGAAAGGCCCTGCGAGGGCATATGAAAATTGTGGCCAGACATTGCTGATTCAATCGATGACTCGACAGAGGGGAAGGGCTGCAGATCCGACATGTCCGGCGGTGGAGGCGTCAAAGCATTGTTCAAGGGGGATGCGGTGTACGACTGGAGTTGTGAAGCAAAGTTGAAGGGTGGCATAGATGTTCGACTGTTCATCATGTGGGGTGAGTGATTGGGTGATTGCGGCATCTGTCTACGTCAGCTTTGATCATAAACAAGACTGCGAAACCTACAGGGGTCAGGTCACGGCTATCCTCTTCAGTTGCTGAAGCAGCAGCGTCAATGAGGTCTTCCCACCGTTTGCCCATAATGGCAGCTGCTGTTGCGGGCTCGGCTGAAAATGCCTTTCTGTCATAGCTCATTCTCCGACTGTGCTCTTTTGATTTCTGGCGCTCATGTTTCCCTCGACGAGCATTCTGCCCTATGGACGGCTTGCGAGGCCGGTTCGGCTTGAGAGAGTGAGCTCCCGGAGGCAGAGTGGAAGAGCGACCGGGAGGTGAGCGCGCGAGGGAGGATGGCAGAAGTTCTTGCTGGATGGAGCCAGAAGTATAGTATGGTTCTTCGGTATTGCTCGGTGGGCCTACGGGGGTTGGGGCAAAGCGCGCGCGGGGCCTGAAATTCTTCGAGTCGGGGTCGGATGCTGCGTCCTGTTCACAGCATGCGTTAGCCTCATGGTATGCCAGGAACGCTGCAGTGCGGCTTCTTACCGGATCTGAATCCCAGTCGTACTCTGCACGGTGATTGTGTAACGAGGCCAGGGCAGCCGCAGCAGTCGCGGTAGGCAGTAGCGATGGCCGACGCGTTTCGCCAGTCCCTCGAAGAGAATTGGAACCGAATTCGGACTCGAAGAAGGAATTGTGTTCATTGTTGCTGTAATCATACGTTTGTGGCGCTGTCACTGCTGTCGTTGTAGGGGGAGGAGGTGCTCGTTCTTGTGGTGGTGTATTGACCATTAACAGAAAGCTTTCCTATCAGCAAGCAGATGATATCAGCATGTGGTGTGGCTAAATTTTTTGGTATTTTGGAAGCTCGTACCTCTGTTGCTGGAAGCTTGGAAATGTAGTGTTCGGGGTGAGCACGTCGAATGTGCTCTTGCATAGAGCGAAAGCGCTTCTCCTACACATGGTGGATTAGTCGGCAGCTGGGGCAGGGCAAGGCAGGGCAAGGGAGCTTCGAGGCGTGGGATGACGTGGGGTAGCTAGCTCTCGTGGAGACTTACGCCTGTGCAGCGCTTTCGGCAAGCTGAGCTATCATGGTTGCGCAGCGGGCAGACGACGACGTTGTTCTCGTCACTGACGGAGAAGGAGCTCGTAAGCGGTGCTGCGCGCGAAGGAGGCATGGCTGTAAGCATCAACGGCAGAAGCTTCTCGACGAAGCAAAAATTGCGCGGGAAGCTCTAGGGCGGGCGAGAGAAGGTGAGTACGGAGGGCGCGCAGCTTCCAGCTGGTCGCGGCGACTACGGGCAAGGTGTGTCGAGGAGCTCTCTGGCTCACAACTTAGTGGAGGAAGCTCTGAGCTGAAGTTGCTGCCACTGCAGACAGAAGGGCAAGCGGATGCGGGGCAGCTACGCAAGGCCGCGGGGCTTGGAGGAGACCAAGTGAAAGCTTTATTCGAGAATGATGATGTCGCCATGCACTGCGGGCGCGGAAGAGGTGTCAATGGGCGTGCGCTGCTGCTGCTGTTGCTGTTGCTGTTGCTGCTTCTGCTGCGGCTGCTCGTGCTGCTGCAAAAGGCAGAGCTGTGTCGCCACGGCAAGCTTCCAGCAATGAGCAATCAGACCACAGCCCGGGATCGTGCCTGGGACGAAAGAACCGGGCAGCTTGGAGAAAGAGCTTTGTGCTGCCCAATGACCTACCGTTCCCATAGATTGTTGTGCGCTCCAATCAGACGGCGTCGAGTTGGAGAGCGACTCATCATCGGCACGAGGCTTCGCAGAAGCTCGAGTCCCGTGCACTGCCATAGCTTCAATCCCGTGAATGCCACTGGACCAAACCCGCCCCCGGAGCCTGGTCGTCTGCACTACAAGACCGGCTACGGCGCAACAAACGTGAAAAGATTTTGCTCCCACTGCTGCAACCCCGAGCTAGCTGCACTATCCGCCGGCAAGGCTGTCACTTTTGCACCCGGCCGCATGTCCCAAGGCGAAATCCGGCGCGGCTTGTGGTCGGGCGCCGGCAAGAACGAGAGAAAAATAGGAAGGAAGACAGGGGACGAGAAAAAAAAGTACCATCCTGCCAGCCATGGTTTTTTTTTCGCATGAACAGCCGGGGGGCATCTTGCTGACAGAGCCAGGCGATAAGCGATTGTGCTCTGCGACTACCTTTTTTGTATTCTTGTAGTAAGTATTAGTGCTATGTCTTTAATTTGATTCCAAATGTGGTTACACATGCCCTCGTGTGCACTTGCTCCTTCCTCCCAGGGAGCTCGTCTACGACTACCATTTCCGCGTCCACCTTCCAAGCGCAATCTCGCTCCCATGACAGCTTGACGCAGTATTGCCGTGCCCTGCTTTCTGGGGCGGATCCCTTCATGTCTCCCACTGTACCGCAACTGCCTCGCGGTGGAGGTGTACTTTGCCTGGACTGCCGCTTCTGCCAGCCATGTCGCTTTCAGTGCAGTCCTTAAATGGAGACACTTCCTTTCTTCTTACCTTCGACCCACCTGCAGCCCCACCGTCGTCCCCGGGCTTGTTTCCCGGTTCTTTTACGATTCTAGTTGACCGTAAGTTAGTCCAAAATTTAGGCGGTGCAAGTCGCCCACACTGCTTCATCGTAGCATGTGATACCCCAGGATGCATGACGGCCATGTGCTAACGCTTTGTTTCGTGAGCAGCCTGGCTGACTGGGCCATCGATTATCCTCAACTCTGTCTTCTCGCACTCGGAGCAAAGGGCAAAGCCGTCCATCTCGAGTCTCCGGGACCTGAGTCGCGAGCCCGATCTCGTGTTGATATCCCAAGACAAGCCCGACCATTGCCATGAGGCGACACTGCGCCAACTGCCACCAGACGGCGAGTCGACGATTCTAGCCATTCCCTCTGCAGCCAAGAAGATTCGATCGTGGAAACACTTTCGTTCCGAGGCTGTGCATGCTCTTCCGCGATTTGCGCAGGGAGACGACCGATCTATTCATCGCATTGTGCTACCGCCACCATCGGCTCGAGGAACGTGTGGTGAAGTGACGGTGACCTGGATACCTGCGAAACGCGACCTCTCCAAGGTCCACCATGCTATTGGTATAACGTACCGGCCTCCATGCACGGTGCTCTCTTCACTCAGCCCAATGCACTACATTGATCTTCCCATGAGCCCGCCTCCGTCGCCAGGATCCCCAATGACGATTGCGTCGTCGCCTCGCACCATTGTGCCCTCGCCGTACAACAATCGTGAAAAGACGCTGTCGGTCATCTACTCGCCTCATGGGGTTTCATACGACATGATACGGCCATATGCCAGCTCGTATCTTGTTTCTGAATCAGCCTTGCCTCTAACCGCGCTTCTCCATTCTTTTGACTGCGTCGAAAACCCATGGTGGCTTGGCGGCAACATATCAGCCGGGTCTTCGGGCGGGACTGAAATCGCCAAAAGCTTGTACGCAAAAGCTTGGATCTCGGCCCATGATGCAGATAAAGACAATCGTGGCTGGGCAGTCAAGTTGACACAGATTGCACAGCATGCCGCTGGAGAAGTGAGGAAGATGCTCGACGAGGGTGTTGTGAGAAAAAAGTTGCCAAATACAGAAGTCATCACATTGAATTCTGGAGAATACCATCGGATTACTGCAGGCTGAAGCGCTGCATGTCGCAGGATACAGTTGTTGTGGTATTAGCATTTGGGCTCGCTAGGATGTGGGTGGGCAGACGCAGAATTGCTCATTAGCCACATTGACCGAGAGAGTGATGTAGAGAGGCCGAGACAGGGCAGGAGCGCTGCATGGTCTTGGCTGCCGTGGAGATGCGGTATGTTTGAGTCTGGCGTAGGGAGAGAGGGTGGACAAAGTTGCTGGTAGGAGCCTAGAGCATGGCTTGAAACGGGCCGCACTGTGTCGAACTCTGTGGTGGTTTCTTGTTGCTAGCTAGATCTATTTTGGGTGACAGGTCAAAGGCAGCGGTAGCGTATGAAGATAGCAAGCGGTTAGAGATGGCGAGGATGCAGCTACAGTTGCAGTAGACAAGGCTGACGCAGGCCCATGAAGACGTCGAGAATGGACCCTGGCACATGAAATGGCAGTGGGGTGCTGTGGTTTCACGTGCGCGTGCGCGTGCACGTGATGTTGGGTGCCCACCTGCGGCGCCCCTTTCTCTTACACTGCTCGCCTACCAAGTAGCCCTTGGTGGTATCACGCTTTTCGCAACAATAGCAACAAAGGGCGGCGGCAAGGGCGAAGGCGCAGTGTTTCGGAACAAAACACACACATGGCAGACGTAATAGTAGTACACAGTGCAGAAAGCAACGTTACCCTGGAGATTAGGGTGTAGGGCTAGCGGCGGACCTGGAGCTAGTTGTTGCCGGCCAGACGCCAGAAATGCGGCGCAGGCAGACAGGCAGGGCAAGGCCCGGCTCGCATGTTCAAAAGCCCGCTGCTTGGCGCCACAGCAATGCCGGAATAGACGGATGCGGATGGCCGGGCGCAGCATTGACAGGCGACACGCTCAAACAAAATAAAAAAAAGGCCTCTCGCCCTGTGTCTCCTGGACGTGTGCATGTTTTAGCCATGCAGTGTGAGCAGAGGACCTTCACAAAACGGGTGTGTGCGAGTGCCACAGCATGACGCCGCACCCGGGCTGCTGGGACTATTGGTGTGGCTGAGGGACGCCGGCTGTTCTTAATCCAGACGCGCAATCTCCCCGTACGACGGTGGTGGTGCAGAGCGTTTGCGCTGACATGGCGCACCACAACGTCAGGAAAAAAGGGCGACAGCTCTATAGGACAATTAGAGAGGCATCCACCGCACCAGCGCAGCGATCTGCAGCACCTGACAGGGACAGGGTGGAGGTGCACGCTGCTCGTCGTCGGCCGGTGTATGAATGGAGTGGCTGTGGATGTGGATATGGATGTGGATGCGGATGCAATCAGGCACTGTCCAAGCGCCAAGCCTAGCGCAAGACGGAAGTCGGGTCATGGCCAGCGAGGGCTGACTGACGGGCGCAGAGCTGCCAACTATTCGAGCTTCACACCCGCCGGCTTCTGCTACTCCTCGAGCTCGACTACACTCCATCCACACACACATACACGCCCATTCTTGCCGACCCCCGTTGCTTCTGCCCTCGACACCCGCCCGCCCGCGCACAGAGCCACAGCGAGTGAGCGAGAAAGAGACATAGTCGTCACCCTCTCGTCCCCCTTTGGACCGTCGTGCCCCGGTACGGTGCTGCTCCTCGCATCGTCTGCACCACCCGACCCACTCCCCATCTCCCTCCCACACCACACACACTGGCTTCTCACGCTTCGTCGACCCCGACGACGCAGCGCTCGGCGAAGGCTGCCTCTTTGATGAGCGTCACCATCCATGAGTCGCAGATGATGCCCGCCTATGCCACCGACTCAAACGGTCGTTCTTCCCTTGCACATGGACAAACCACCGCGTCGACTACACCGCCACCCAGAGACTCCTTCACCAATGGCAACTCGCAGCCCATGAACGCGAAGCTCACCAATGGCATGAACACGACGCACGCACATCCCCACGCACGTTCAACCAGGCCCGAGAGCATCGATAAGCGCTTGTCACAGGAAGAAAGCCGCTCCAGCTGGCACCGAGGCGACTCACACGACGCCGACGCCATGCCCAAGTCGTCCGACACGCAGCGCTGGTCGACTGAGCGACCGGCCAGAGATGATGGCTACTTCGCGTCGGTACACAGCACAAAGACCAAGGACAGGCTGTGCGGTAGCACAACCCACGTCGAAATGGGCCAAATAGACATAGGCGATGCCACAAGGGAAGCGAGCAAAGACTTTCACGTCTCCCACGCGGGCCCAGTCCCCAGCGCTCCCACTTCGTCATCGCCCCAGTCTCAGGCCGAAGCTGGCACCCCCAGCCTGCAGGTCCCAACCGACCAAGCTCAGCGTGCCTCCTCCCCACCCACCTTCACCAATACCAGCAACAATAACAACAACCCCGGGCCATCACAACATCCCTACCGTTTGCAACAACGCCACACGCTCGAGGTGCCCAAGGTGCAGTCTTCGCGCGCTCGCGAAAGCCAGAACAATACCGACGACGTCATTAGCGCAAGCGGTAGATTCTCGCCCAGCCACCCCCACAAGCGCAGAGGTTCCATGTCGCTTGTGCGCAGGAACACGCGATCCATCAACTCTGACATGCCCCCCGAGGAGGTGCCACAGGATGATGAAGCTGCACGCTGGGCTGAACACATCCGTCAGAAGCGCGCCAGCAAGAGGAAGCGCAAAGAAGACGAGGATGAAGATCGCGTCGTGGTAGGAACAAAGGTGGATCAAAACCACGTCAATTGGGTCACGGCCTACAACATGTTGACTGGTATCCGCTTCACCGTCTCGAGAACAAACGCCAAGATGGACAGAGAACTTACAGACGCCGACTTCGATGCGAAGCACAAGTTCTCGTTTGACATGTACGTGCCGACTGGCTTTCCTGCCGAGACGAAGCTGTTGCTCGAGTTCAGTTTCACTTCGTCTGCAAGGCCTGCTTCCTTCGACCCCTGACATGATGCTAACGAGCTCGCAGAACTGGCAACGAACTCACGCCTTCCGCAAAGTACGACTTCAAATTCAAGGACTACGCGCCATGGGTGTTCCGCCACCTGCGTACCATCTTCAAGCTCGACCCTGCCGACTACCTCGTATCGCTAACCAGCAAGTACATCCTTTCCGAGCTCGGCTCGCCCGGAAAGAGTGGCAGCTTCTTTTATTTCTCCAGAGACTACAAGTACATCATCAAGACTATTCACCACGCCGAACACAAGTTCCTTCGTAAGATACTCAAGGACTACTACAACCACGTTCAAGAAAACCCTAATACCCTCCTTTCCCAATTTTACGGCCTGCACCGCGTTAAGATACCCTATGGACGCAAGATCCATTTCGTCGTCATGAACAACCTGTTTCCCCCGCATAGAGATATTCACCGCACATTTGATTTGAAAGGTTCAACCATTGGACGAGATTTCAAGGAAGAAAACCTGGCCGCCAACCCTCGGGCAACACTCAAGGACCTGAACTGGTTACGTAGAGATCAACACCTCGAGCTGGGGCCGGTAAAGAAGAAGATGTTCATTGAGCAGATGCAAAAAGACGTAAAGCTCTTGCAGCGTCTGCACATCATGGACTACTCGCTTCTGATTGGTATCCATGATCTGGAGAAGGGCAACGAAGAAAATTTGCGGGACAAGACCCTCAAGGTCTTTTCGCCTGGCGGCGAGGAGTCACCGGATCAACCACCCAACCAACTCATGCGCACACCATCCAAGCTGGAGAACGCGCGCAAGGCACGAGAACTAAGGCAGATGGTCAAGACACAAAAGCCAGTGCCCATGGGCCAAACATCAAGTAAGATGCCAGATGAGCTGGATGATCCTAACCGCGACTTTTACTTTTATTCGGACGATGGTGGCTTCCGCGCTACTCACGAGGATAACGCGCCCGGAGAGGAGATTTACTACCTTGGTATCATCGACTGCCTGACACATGTAAGTTTCACCGCATCATATAATGTAACTAGCTAGTGACTAATATTCCTCTAGTATTCGTTCATCAAGCGCATGGAGCACTTCTTCAAGGGCATTGCAAATACCGAGTCTCAAATATCTGCCATTCCTCCAGAACGATACGGAGATCGCTTCATCAAATTCATCAGCGCCGTCACCAAGACCAAGGAGGCAGCCGAGCGTGAGAAGCAAGAACAAGTGACCAATGAACTCAACGATCTCTCGCTCGATGGCGTTAGTGCAACTCCTAACCAGCGGTTGTCAACTGAGCGTGTCATTGAGAAGGCTGAGCATCAAGCCGATCGTTCGCGAAGACACGGTCAGAATGAAGAGGATGTACCCAATTTCCACATGCGGGCAGTACGCAGCCCGTCGGCAGAGAGAGGGGAGATAGGCACTACGCTTCCCGTAGTTGAGGAAGTCGGAGAATCATCCAGCGTCGGTGGACACAGCAGCCGCAGCGCAACAGACAATGCAGCTGGTGCGATTGAGTACAACGAGCGAACGTCGTCATTGCCATCGCAGTCTGCAGGTACACCCTACCTTGGCCCACCACAACTCCAAACAAGAGCCAGGTCACAATCAAGAGAGAGGGACCAGTCGCTCGGGAGGGCGCCACCAACGCCACCAAAAGACGCTGGACGTCCTCCTACACCGCCCAAGGATGACTACATGTCTAACAGGCACTCTGGCCCCCCAACACCCCCCAAGGAAGACAAGAGCAGTAGAGGCATCCCTCGCTCCTCGATAGACAAGGACCTTCCACGAACCCCTCTTGAAACCACGATCCGTGTCAACTAAACAAGAAGAACACTCCCAGGAGATCGAAACCAGGAAAAGATCCGTCTTTTTATTCAATGTAAACATGTCTCTTTTTTTTCTTTTTCTCATGTGTGTTTGTCCATTCTACTCCTGTTAATTCCACCAACCAACCAACCACCCATTCGAATCAATATCAAAAACTTCTTGTTTACTTTTTTTCTTTTACGTCGGAGTTTTTTTTTGCATAAACACTCCAACCCCCACCCTCTGTCTCCGTCTTGTCTCGTGGTCTCTTACCTTGCAAAGCACTGGAGTTTTTTTCGCCTCTTTGTCGAATCTTACTCTCTCTTTCTCTCTCTCTCTCTCCTATGTTCTCTTTCTTTTTCTGTCTTTTTTCCCCCTAGCAAACCAACACTCTTATCTAACATCTTGGTTTTGTTTTTTCCTGTGCGTTCGCGAATGCATGATACCATGAGTTTGCTCATCGTTTCCTGCCTACGCCCCCTGGCCGACTTTCCATTATCAGATAGGATTCGGAAAATAGTAGTAGCGTGGGTGTAGCGATAGTTTTTGCACCGCGGGATATCGGGTCTGCTTGTCTTTTTTTTCCTTTCCTTTGTTTGTTTTGTATGCTGCTGTGTTGTGTTTTTGGGAAGGGTGTTGGAGCCGGTTTGTATAGCGTTGGTTTGGCTATGCATGAGTGTGCGAAGGGAGACAGGGAAAGTACGGGAGAATCGGGGAAACTGGTCTTCTTTTTCCTCCCCTTTCTTTGTGTGCGTGTGTTTGTTTGTTTGTTTTTTTGGATGCGGGTTCTCAAAGTCAGTCGGCTTTGGCAAGATTGAACGGCGGGTGTGTGTGTGGTATTTGTGAGCGACAAATGGAAAGGGCTGGTGGGAAATAATAGTCGTTTGTGGATTGGAAAGACAGAGAGAGAGAGAGAAAGAGAGAAAGAGAGAAAGAGAGAGGATATACATATTAGCGGTGCTGCGAGAAAAGGCACACACACACATAGGCAGACAGACGGGACAGACAGAAGGGAGAGACATGGGCTGTAGCAGTAAGCGGCGCATTAACTGGTAGATAGATGGCAAACAGACTCGAATGCATATATTTCATATTTATATCTCCCAGTTCAAACACGTCTATGTTTACAGTTCAGGAAGTATGTAGGCACAATTCAAACTTGGAAGATGGATGTAACGCTCGATAGTTTACGTCGTCATGCTTGTTTGCATTATTCAGAAGATTCAAAGACCGCAATGGCCTCAGTCTATCTATCCATCATAGTCTACAATGCTACTGCTACTGCTACTGTTCTTGTTACTCCGTGAAGCAGCCCGCTTACTTGTAAAAGTCAAACTTATCCGCTTCTGTTGCTCCCTTGACCTGGCTCGTGTATGCCTCCTCCAAATCGCTCTGGATGATGTTGTATCGGTTCTTGCGCACAGCTCTCAGACCCGCCTCTTGCATGATAGCTGCGATGATGGCACCAGAGAGTGGGTCATTGCGCACAATCAAGCTGTCGAGATCTACCTCGGGTGATAGGCTCATCTTGCCGGCAATCGTCGAGAAGATGAGACGGCGCTCACGGCGATCTCGCAGCGAGGGGAACTCAATCTTCCTGTCAAGACGACCAGGTCGGAGAAGCGCGGGATCCAGAGTGTCGGCACGGTTGGTGGCCATGATGACCTTGACGTTGGATGTCTGATCGAAACCGTCCATCTGATTGAGTAGCTCGAGGAGAATACGCTGGACTTCTCGGTCGGCACCTGTCTGCGCGTCGAAACGCTTGGTAGCGATGGCGTCAATCTCGTCGATAAAGATGATGGATGGCGAATTCTCTCGCGCCATTCTGAAGACATCGCGGACCATACGTGGACCCTCACCAAGGTACTTTTGCACAAACTCAGATCCTACGACACGGATGAACGAAGCAGTTGTGCTGTTCGCGACGGCCTTGACCAACATTGTCTTTCCGGTACCTGGAGGACCGTAGAGCAGCACACCACGCGGTGGGTCAATACCAATCTGCTTGTACAGGTCAAAGTGTGTGAGGGGCAGTTCGACGGCTTCCCGGATTTCCTGCTTCTGCATGTCCAGACCTCCCACATCGGCGTATGTCACGTCAGGCTTCTCATCCTGGCCAAGCATGGCAATCGAGGAGTCGGCCTCGGGGGGTAGAATGTCAACCAGGGCATTCGAGTGGCGATGGAGGGCGACGGATGAGGATGGCTTTAGTAATTCGCGGTCAAGGGTGGAGAGGATGCGAACGACATAGTTGGAACCAGTTGATGATTGTACGATGCCGGTGCTGTTCATGTCAGTCTCGTGACGCAACCGGTGCATTGTATGTACGACTTACTTCTGATCAATTGCCTCCATGAACTGGCCGATGACCAGCGGCACACTCTGGATACGTTTGATCTCCTCCTGTGCCCTCACCAGCTCGCGCTTCAGACTCCGCTGCTCATCTTTGATGTACTCTTCCTGAAGGTGGATGTATCTACGGCTGTTAGCCACTTGTTGTCTAGATGCGAGACGCGCACTACGCACTCTAATTGCCGTTGTAGCTTCTTGAAGGTGGAGTAGTCGTCGTTTCCCTCAGTCGAGAAGCCCTCCAAGGCGTCGAAGTTTGGTATCGATGACGGGAGCTGCTTCTTATGCGGCGGGACTGTGTTGGCCGGGTTCTCGACGGCGGCGTCAGCCATGGTGATAGGATTTCAATAGTCTCGGTATGAATGGGGGTCCGGGTTCTAACGGTTCGACGGTTAGAAGGCTGTAGCAACTGGTGATTCAACGTGTTGGAGTATGGGTGAGGCGGTGCTTGTCAGTCGCAATGGTGCTGAAGCTCATGGAAGGCGCGAGGCATCGGGGGTTGGGGGGGGGCGCTACCGCCGACGTCACGTGAGGGGCATCATCTCATTGCACTCAGTTGCTTCAGACAACACATGTGGCAGGGGGGGGAGGCAAAAGCAACTTTGCGATATATCAGACTACATATGGGCTGCATGAGGCACACAGAGTATGCATACAGTAGGATCACAGTACATGGACCTGACAGCCTGGGATTGGCGCGCCCGCCGACTGGGTCGGGTTAGGTATGGCAGGTGAATGGTCATGGACCCTTGTCGACTACTACTCAAAGCAGCAAACGACCCCAAGGAAGGGCATGGCGGGGAACGACGAGGGAATTGCGGTGTGGGCGTCTCGTCTCGTCTCTTCTCTTCTCTTCTCTTCTCTTGTGGACAAAGGCCAGGGTATTGGAGCCCGTATGTTGCTGGGGCGGCGCGGGCTCCCGAGATTCGAGGCGGGCAGGCGCCAGAGGGAGATTGGCTCGCCGGAGATCAACCGGCGTACTAGGTGTAGGCGGGCGGAGGCAATGGGGACTGGCAGCAGCAGTGGGACAGTGGGAATTGCAGAGGCGGGCTGTCAGCGGGGCCAAACACCATGGGCCAGGGCATGTAGTCGGTAGAGGGGGCCAGGACAGCCAAAGGGACTCGGTGTGGCGCTGTTCTGGGGGGTCAGACGGTCGGGCTGGGCGATAGTAGTCCAGCGGTCTGGCGGGTGCCCACTCTCGACGCCCAGCGCAAGTGCAAGTGCAAGTGCAAGCGACGACTGCAGGCACAAGGTGATGTAATAAGTGGAGAGACAGAGCAGATTCCGTGTCACGACGGCCAGAGACGCGGACAATTCCAATTGAGTTAGGCCTGGGCTTGTGAGCTGCCGGAACGCAGGCACTCGACTGGCCTGTCGTTGTCGCGACGCGCGAACGCGTCTTCCTGCTGCTCGCATGCGACTGGACACGGCCTGGAAGTCTGACGTGCGAGGCTCTGCGGTCGTCGTGTCTGCCCGTGCTGGTCCTCTCGCCGTCCTGGAGTCGGAGTCGTCGTCGTCTATCGAAGCCTCTGGCCGGCCTGCCATGCTGGATGAGGCTAGAGGGCTTTGCTTGGCAACAGCGCCCTTCTCGCTCCACGTCCGCTCCTCAGCACCGCATAGTCCGCAAAGCGCGTCTGCGCTACGTGAACATCTCGACTGCCCCCGGAGCCACGCCATTCCGCCTTGCCCTGATGACAAGAGTATTCTAGCGCTACTCTTCTGCTGCCGCACTGTGTGTTCACTGCTCCCGCTCGCCGCTCTCTGCTGCTGCTGCCGCTGCGTGCTTGTCCGGGGCTGGGCCTTCGTCCACACCCGTTGCTGCTACGGCCAGCAGAGGCGCGTCGTCCATCTCACCATCAACTTGCTTGCTGACGCCGTGCTCGCCAGGTGCTTCCCAAGCCCCCTCACGTGCCTGAACACATACACGCTTCCTCGCTGCTCTCCTCGGCCGACACGCGCCTTTTCACTCGTTCCCGCCGCGATCATCGCCCGTCGGCCCTAGTCGCGCTCCACCATGGACTTCCAGTCTCCCCAGAATACCATGTACGACACCTCGAGCTTCATCGATCCCAGCGCCATCGCAAACCCCCAGATGAATGGCGCGCGCCCCTACAACCCAATGCCCCAGGTCCCCCAGAAGCGAGACTCCACCGGCGCCGCCCTCTCTCTATCCCGCTCACAGACGCCCTCCCAGCAGCCCCAATTCGGCTTCCAGCACCAGCAGCCATTCGCCAACACGCCCTCGCCCACCATGTCGAGCCAGCACTTTGCGCCTGGCCAGATGGGCGGCCAGCGGATGCAGACTGCCTCGCCCGCGCAAAACCCCCATGCGCCCCAGATGTCGCCTATGGGCTTCCAACCCTCGCCCATGAACCAAGCATTCAACGCAAACTCTGGTAACCAATTCCCAGTTCAATCGGTGCAGCTATCACAGAATCTGCAGAGTCGCCAGCAGGAGGCGCAGAGGCAGTACGCAATGCGCCTGCAACAGCAGCAGCAGCTGGGCAATCTCGCCGCAAGCAACATGGCTGCGCGACAAGGACAGCAGCCAGGCGCACAGATGCCTGGTGGAATGCAAAACCCCATGCAGCATCCTGGTATGCAGCCAAACATGATGCAAGGTCAAGCACAACAACCAAACCCCCAGGTCCAATATCAGCAGTTCCTTAAAAACGTCGCGGCGCTATATGCTCAGCAAAACCGGCCGTTTAACCCGCAGCCTCAATGCGCTGGCCGTTTAATTAACTTGCAGAACCTTTACGCCGCCGTCTTGCGCTTCAAAGGCTCTCGATTCGCTACCCAGCAGAATGGCTGGCCACGGATCGCACAGATGATGAACATACATCCACAGCAGTTCCCTAATGCCCCTAACGAGCTGCGCCAGATCTACGAAGCAAACTTGCTCCTCTACGAAACTGCCTACATCCAGCGACAGCAGCAACAGCAACAGCAGCAAATGCAAATGCAACAACAAAAGGGTATGCCTCCGCAAGGGCAAATGGGTCAGATGGCACAAATGGGGCAAATGGGACAAATGGGTCAGATGGGTCAGATGGGTCAGATGGGCCAGATGAACCAAATGGCTACCATGGGTCAGCAGATGTCCCCAACTAGACCGACAATGCCAGGGCAGCAAAACAATATTGCGGGACACCAGGAGTACCTTCAGCAGCTACAAAGGTCGCAGGAGTCGCTGAAGCAGCAGCAGCAGCAGCAACAACAGCAACAACAACAACAACAACAACAGCAGCAGCAGCAGCAGCAACAACAACAGCAACAGCAACAACAGCAGCAACAACAGCAGCAACAACAACAACAACAACAACAACAACAACAGCAACAGCAAGCCCAACAGCAAGCCCAACAACAAGCCCAACAGCAAGCCCAGCAACAAGCCCAGCAGCAACAGCAACAGCGCCAATCGGTCCCACCTACTCAGCAGCCCCATCAACAAATCGACCCAACCGCACATCTGCCACAATCAACACCGTTACAAAGCAATGCAGCACCTCCGAGCGTCAATGGCAACACACCACAGCCAGATGTCAATGCGCGGAAGAGCCTCAGCAGACAGTTGGAGGGAACCCCTGTTCCAGGCAAAGAACCCAACCAGGTACAACCTTCGCCAATGAAGCAGGAAGAGAATGCTGCAGTTGCCGATCCAGCGCTGAATGCTATGGAGGGACCTGAGAGGCGGAAACCCGTGATAGAGCAAGATGATGGTACAAGAGTCTACCAACCTGCATGGCGAACTCAAGATACCTGGGGAGGACTCGACTTTGACTCTGACAACTTCAAGAACATGATCGACACGATCACAAACTACAAGCCAAATGTTCCGATGCTGCCAGAGATGGGTGTGATTGACATCCGAGCGATTACCATGAGTATCAGGTCGGGTTTGCCTGGAGAAGCCCGCTTAGGACTCGACACCCTCACACGGTTGACTTATGACAACACTATACAGTTCAATCTGGCCCACTGCGAAGATTTGACAGAAGTATTGGTGGAGTATGCAGAAGACCTCTTGGAAACATTGGGCAACGACAATCCCGAAGTCACCGACATTATCGATCTCATGTCATACGAGGACGTCATGCACCACTGCCGCGAAGAAGCTGCCTCGCTGCTGGAGATCCCACAGGTCGGGACAACCGCACACCATCTCAATCGTACCGCTGACCGGCTACTTGCGATTACTACGATTTTCCGCAACCTATCCTTCCTCGAGGTTAATCATGACTCCCTAGTCAGCCCATCGGTTCTTAAATTCCTTGCAAACTTCATACGCCTTGTGGGCACACGGGTTCTACTTCTCCGGTCACACATGAACACCTTTGAGTTCATGAAAGACATTGTTACTTTCTTCTCCAATACTAGTGCTAAAGTTGTTCTGCCTAGCCGTGAAGATGCATACGCTGTACTGCACTTCCTATGCGCCTTTGCTCCAATGCCACGACCTACCGAACCTGTCAAATTCACGCCCTTTGATCCTCAACTTCACCGCTATCTTCCATCCGCAGTCGACAGTCTGGCGAAGCTGCTCGCTCGTGATGATCCCAACCGGACATATTACAAGCAGATCTTTATCAACGAGGCGACAGCTACACCAGCATATGACCTCTTGACACGATCCTTTGCCCTCGCCATCTCGGTCGTGCCTGACCGCAACTACATTGAGAACAAGATGTACCAATTAAAGGATTCGCGCCCTAAGGAGGTGCGCATGTTTGAGGCTCGTATCGCAGAATCGCGAAAGGCCTATCTCATGCAAGGCATGCTGGCTGCAGACATTCTCGCCAGTCTAGCCCCAGGACCGGAAACTGGCATCTGCCGTGCATGGCTTGAATCCGAGGACGGCTGGGCACATACGCTCCTCAAATTTGCAATGTCTCTCTCAGCCACTGACGCTGCCATCCCTCACCCTCCCCTGCCACCGAACCACCGCGGCCCACGACCCATGGACCACGACCGAGAAGGTTTCCAACTCATTGTGCACCGTGCGCTATCTACTCTCAAGCGCCTAGGCGACAAGTCAAAGGGCGGCGAGCCCCTTGTCAAGGGCGTGCAGCAAATGAACGGACACATGGACCACGACAGTATGGATGAGGACGAGGATGATGACGACATGGAGATTTTCAGTTTCAACGGCAGTTCATGGAGGGTGAAAGCCGATATTCTACCCCGCAAGGAGACGCTACTTGGTGCACTGTTGACAGCGCAACTGGACGTTCGCAGTCTAAATCAATTCTGTAAGATTGGGTATCTGGACGAGTAAAGGAAAACGAAGGATAAACACTTTTTTGGGAAATTTAGGTTGACTCGGAGGTTTGGGGCGGGGGGCTGGAATAGAGATGCCTTTTGTTTCTAGGAGTACTTTCAAAAGGGCCCGATTTTTGGGGGGTTTCTGCTTTGCATAGTGTGTATGTGTATGTACGTCTATCTGAGTGTTTTGTGCGTCTCTGTGTCTCTGTGTGTATAAGCTTTGTAGGAAAGGTGGATGATGTGCGGATACATACACATTTGCATTAACTGGCATTCTTGATTTTCTTTGTTTTTATGTACTATTGAGTCGTACCATCACAAAGTGTACTTGTTTATCTGCTTACTGGCTGCGTTTGTGGAAGGAACGATGGAGAGACTTGTTCCCGCGCGTCATTGTAATGTCTTTTCTAGCCATGCGCACAAGTCTCTTAGCTCCGCGCCGCTCATGACATGACCCATGTTTTCATACTCTTTGATCGTCGTCTTTTCCTCTTTGACCCCGAGTTCGAAGAGTCTTTCATAGCATAATCGATGATGCCATTTAGGAACTAGTCTATCACTTGTTCCCCTCGCTAGGAAGACCTCTACTTCATCGTCCATGTCCTTTGGTAATCCAGCCTTTTCTCTTAGCATCGGTATACGATCAGATAACGGAAGATATCCAGATAACCCGAACAGTCCCCCAAGCCTCCCTGAATACTTTGATACAAGCCCAGTCAACAAAGCGATAGCATGGCCCTGGGAGAAACCACCCACGACAATCCTCTTTTCCGGCACGCCTTGCACGACAAGGTCATCAACCAAAGTAGCAATATAATCTAATGAAGCCATGATCCCTTCCTCGTCTTCATCATCCTCGAGTTCCGGGCGTGACGGCGGATACGGAGATAGGCGCGTGGGCACGTACCACGCTGTGGTTGCAAGATCATGGTTCTCAAGGGCATTGGGAAGGACCCAGGTCATGTGCGGTAGTTTTTGTGCAGACTGGAATTGGTGCGCTATGCTTTGTACGCCTGAAGCATCATCGCCCAGGCCATGGATGAAGATGATGGCGGAGGATTGTGAAGGGTCGCTTGGTGGAGTTGTGGGAGGGATGATTATGGGTGGGGTTCTTTCGGGTGGCATGGTCTACTGTTTGAAGAATGGTTCTAGATACTATAGAGTGGTAGCATATAAGCTGGATTAATGCGAGCAGAATCAAGTTTAGTCCAGATGGTGTATGTACCTCCAGATGGTGTATGTACCCCACATGGTTGTATATGCAGGTACGGATACGATGTGGGCTTCGACGCATTGACATGTGATGAATTCCCACCTCCCAAGCCCCAACTCGCCGCAACGTCACCTTGCCCACCCCCACCGTCCACGATGCCGCACGTCGAAGTGCTCCCAAACTCCGCCACGACCGTCGCACCCGGATGGACATACGTCGTAGACACCGGGTATGACCCCTCCAAAGTCGCCATCAACCCAAAGAACAAGAAGCGCGCAGCAGCAGCAACCCCCGGCGGTCAACGCGGCGAAAATGAACTCTCAGCACGCCAGCAAACCGCCATAGCCCGACGCATCGCAGAGCTAGAACGCGACAACGATCCCAAACAAGCAATTGCCATCCCCGGCAAGCCCGCCATACCCAAGACGCAGAATGCCCGCAGAATCATACAGTATCAGCGTCAGATCAAGCACTGGCTCGACGACGAAGAAGCGCAGCTAGGCCTCGTGGCCACCGCATCCCGAGCAACGGCCCAGCCCTCACGGAAACAAAGCATATACGCCTCCATACCCGCCACACCCATCGAGCCAGTACCCGCAACCCCAGCTATAGCGCAGACCCCGTCGCGCCTCGATGATACAAATGCAGATGCCGACGACGCGCTGCTGTCTATCGATCGCGCGATGCCGGCCCCGCTTAATCCTGAAGAGATGGAGGCTCTGCTCGCTGCGCCGCCGCTTTCTTATGCGGCGAGCCATGTTGCTGCGCTTCCTGCTGGGGCGCCGCCCCAGAGGCAGTTTTGCGATAATTGTGGGTATTGGGGGCAGATTAAGTGTCGAAAGTGCGGTGCGAGGGTGTGTGGGTTGGAGTGTAAGGATGCGCATGAGGCTACAAGGTGTTTGAAGTGGGCTTGAAGAGGAAGGTATGTTGGAGACCTACTTCGGATCTTCTGGCTTCTTTGCCGTCGGCTGCACCTATGGTGCTGTATTTCCAACATGGAGAAAAGCGCTGTTGTACTTGTCTGACCTCAGTCCGGATACGAATACAGGATGCGCAGCAGCCTTTTCATCGGAAGATTCGAAATCAAATCCACGCATCCGATCAACTGCCTGGTCCCTGGAATCTGCCTATGTACAAGCAGCATAAATATGCTTTTTCGGGGGCGTAAGTCATATTTAAGCTGTCTTAGACTGTCAACACGAATTGCGACGGAAACCCTGGTCGTAGCTCGATGTACTGGCTATGCTGGATACTTCAAAGACAGCAATCTCGACATGATCAGACCAGCGAAGAGGAATTGGCCAAGATGATCAGACTTCACAGACCTCGTTTGACCGGATGTAGTTTACGTCTTCAATGTGTGACATATTGTCTACTTCAGTCATTGAGGCGAGTGCGATTTTGCTACCTGCAGGCGAAGGACGAGATGATTGTCTATGTAGTAGTAAGAGGGGGTATCACTTCAGATCTTCGGCCTGAAATCTTCTATTCGATTCATAGTGGCAAAGAATGATTTACTCCTTAATATTATCTATATTTGCATAGAACATGCAAGTCATATTGTTCAGTCTTGATCCCAACTGTAATCCCCACTTCCACATGAACGTTTCACTGTTCGGTTAAGTAGTGCATCAAGAGTAAAGCAAGCGTCAAATCGACTATTGAGACTGTCAGAGCTATCAGATGTACACCTACTACGTCTTTCCCGAAAACCTTTGACCAAGAAAGACTGCGTACGTCCCTCTCGCGCAGAGGTGTGCTGAAGATGCGCAGTTCATCAAGTGTCAACTGGGCACCTACACTGCGCAACTACGCGCTCAAGGTTATTGTCTAAGACTTTATTTTCCATCCTCACAGAATACTCCTACACATCTACGAGATCGCATCAATAAATCTAAAAATAACCTTATTTCGTGGCACTTATGCTTTAACATTGGTGAAAGCCGAGCCACGAGTCAAACCCATTGCTCACAACCTTATCTCTCCCATTCTCCCTTCATAATCTGAGCAACACAAATACATCACTGAATCCTCTTGACCTAATGTAAAGCTCACTTCCCTCTTTCCCAGCTATTTTCGCTGTACAACAAAAGTGCACAAGCCACAGCCCCTCGTACCACTTTTCCCCCCAAACACCCTCCCCCTCCCCCAAACATCCCTCCAACCAACTCTTCCAAAATCCAAAAAATTATATACCGCCTTACCAAAGAATAAGTACTTCAACACAAATACAAACATGCCCAAAAGTCTAAAAATACCGACTACGCAGAGTTCCTGCATGCCCCTCCACCCCTGGTTCCGCCCTGCCCTGCCCTGTTTTACATTATTACCCCTCTATGCCCCCCCCCTCCCCCTCCCAAACAAAACCCACTCACCCCGCCATGTCTTGCTGCCCCTCAATTCCCTTCTGCCCCTCTGATAGTGCTGCAATCTACAGCCCCCAGTGCAAAGTTTCCCCTTTGAGTAGTTGACATCTGCGGGGTTCCCAAGATGACAAACATGGTCCATGGTTTGCAACCACCGAGAAGGTACATTTCTAGGATAGAGAGAGAGAGAGAAAATAAAATAAAATACTGAAATAGTGAAATCGTTTATTGTAACCAAAATATTCAAAAAAAATATTATATATTGGAAATTTAGAGTAAAAAATATTTGCATTGCACAACTGCATATTTCTCTGTACATGCGAGAAAAAAAAAGTATACTGATGTCAACCTGTTTGCATATGCAGCAGCAAGGCAAGGCTGACTAGATGAAAGAGGTGTGCAGGGCAAACCTGGCAACAAACAAAAAACAATCACTGTTGTCCCGTGCCAGACTCGAACTGGCGGCCTTGGGATATCTACTAGAGACTAGTAGTCATATTGTGAAGGATATGAGACCCACGTGATAACCAACTACACCAACGAGACGATTCAAGCTATGCTTGAGTTGGGGAGGATTGATGAGCATAATTTCAAAAAGAAAATATATATCTGAAACAAAAAGAGTAGAACACGACGAATCGCCTTGACATAACTGTACGGCGGTTGCGAAGGTGGGGCGAAAAAGAGCTTGCAAGAAGAGGGGTTGATTGGAGCTAGTATCATCGCCTGCAGATTCAAGTCCAGAGGCAAGAATCTGTAGATAGACAAAAAACAGGATTACTTTTGGAAGTATTACAAATTATATCATAGCACATTGACTACATAACTGTATGCAAAGGAAAAGAAAAAGCCGGATCACACACATAGTAACAGGCTGTGTTTGCAAGGAAACGACCTTTTTTTTACGCCACTCTGCGTTGTAAAAGAACTCCATACTTTATGCAACAAAGAAAGAGAGAAGAAAAATGCCAATGAGTTGATCTAGTTCAAGTTGCAGACTCAGAATGTATACTTTGGACCACAGTAGAACTACGGACCGAGACGTTGTGCGACGTCTGGACTCCTGGGACCCAAGGGGATACCTGTTGTAGGGAGGACACCGTACCGACCATATGTCTTCTGGTCTACACTGACGTAATGCGGGAGTCGGCCTAATAGGTTGAGCTTTGTTTCGATCCACCGGAGGATCTTCTCGTGCGGGACGAGAAACTTGATGTAACCGGTTGCCCAGAGGTAGCCGAGACCTGCGCCGCAGAGGTGGCCGACGAGGCTGACGTAGGGGACGAGGATGCTGGTTATGACAATGAGGATGAGGGGGGTTGTCCAGGTGGGGATCTTGTAAGGTCCGACACTGTCATGGAGTTAGTGGGTGAGAGAAGGGAGATTGGAAGGGGAAGGTACCTGAAGTAGGGATTTGTCTTTTGTGTCTTCATTACTTCGGCGGAAAGTAGGAGGAATACCCATACACTGTATTGTGTTAGTACCATACCCTAGCCTCGGGATGAACTGGTCTACATACCTCGCACCCATGACGGCAGTGTTGCTCCTCAGAACGAACTTCTCTAACAGTGTGTATACGCCTCCGGGTATGGTTCCAAAAGCTGCCACATGGTCAGCGTCAATGCCTGATTGTACCATGACTAGCCTTCTTACGCCCAGTGAACAGTGCCAATGTAACAAGTGTTCCATATTCCGACTCGAAGCGCTCGATCAGTGGCGTGACTGCGAAGAGATTGAAGATCATATGGATGAAGTTCCAGTGTAAGACGGGAAACAGGTTAAGCCGGTGCACTATACACATATTCTATTAGCATTACATCCAAACTAATCTTCAGACGGGCCGCGCCGTATTCCGACTCTTGTATCTTCGGATGAATAGTCGCACATCAACCCTTCGAGTTCCTAGTTCTTCATCGCAATCGACGGGCTTCCGGAAGCGCCGCAAACCGCCACCAAAGTGCAAGCGACCAAGCCCTAGACATCTTCTGCCCGGAATCGAGAAAAGCACATACTCTGTGTAAAGTCCATCTTGGCAGGTTCCAAGCGCCCAACGTCCCGAATCCAGGGAAATGGAATGGTAGCGATCCATAATCCGACAATGGCGGCAACGACGACCTTTGTGCAAAAGGGCAGACGCAGGATATAGGAGCGTATGCGCGCGGGATTTAACTGGGGCAGCGAAGGCGCAGGCATGATCGGAGCGCGTTGTTGCTGCTGCTAATGCTACTGCTGCTACTGCGCGGGAAGACGAGCGGACACAAGATAAGTACGAGACTAGGGTCCAGGCCCGCGTTGCACTAGTGTGATCCTCCCGCCGCGCTCGACTGGACCACCTTCCCAGACGGATTGCCTTGGAATGCTGGGCCAACAGGAGGACACAACTCCTGTTCTTTTTCCTGCTTTCTCACACGAGGTGCAGTTCAAGGCGCAATCATGGCATTGCTCTGTAAGCGCAGCGATTCATACCAAATAAGAGGGGCCATTGCTAACAAGTCCAGCATCGTTACTGGCGCTCCGGCAAGACAAACGCCTGCTAAAGATACCGC